TGAGTGCAGAATTTCCATTTGTTTTGTATCATTTACTCCTGGTCAAATAGCGCCCAACTCTGAGCCTTTAGGTGTCACCAGGGGCAGAAGTGTCTGGTTGGCAATGTCCGCATGGTGAGTCCAATCTAAATTAGTTTACAAAGAGATGCCCCTAGAAAACATCACTTTTGTTCTATAAGATGACAAAAACAGAGGAGTGAAAATGAAGAGTGGTAATACCTGGTTTGGGCCTGCTTGCTGGGGGGTAGACTCTTCCGGCCTGCTGCAAGGCCTGAGTCCAGAGTCCCAGTAGGTATATGCCTCACCCAGAGACCCCGCTCTAGGAAAGTGTCCCAGGGATGCCACCAGGAGAGGCAGTCAGGGATTTAGGAACACAGGCTCCTGGTAGCAGAGCCCTCACTGAGAAGGGGAGAGGACACCCTCCTCTCCATTGCAGCTCTAGGCCGGCAGGGAGCCGCCACTGCCCCCATCAGGGTTTGGCTGGGTAAACAAATCAATGCATTCCCAGCCCCCTGCAAGAGGCAGTTTCTAAAGTGCATGATCTTGTAAAGAAATTTAAAACAGTTCACGTTCCATTTCTAATAATTTGGGGGTCCTCCACACAGATTTCCATGGTGATGGTCACGAGTGCTGTGGTGGTGGGAGATTTATGGGAACTACATCAGAGGGGAGAAACCGAATACTGGCCAAAATGAACAAAGTAAAATATTTCAAAAAATTAATGAAAGGGAAAAAAATAAAAACAGTTCATATTAATTTGGAGGGAAGCAGGTAACACAGTCACCCCCCTCTCCCCCAACCGTAAGCACTTAGCAAATGTAGGCATTTCCTCCTGGTGGCTCTCCCTGCCCAGCCCCGACACTTTTGACTCCTAGACACAACCCATGGCTTCGGAGGGGGTGACATTGCAACTTTGGGGTCCAGGACACAGGGTGGGGGTGCGTGTAGGTATTGGGGAGAAAGGATGTCCTGAAGGAACTCCACAAACTCCACATTCATGTCACCCCACTTCACAGTGGGTAGCAGGGGTTAGAGTGCTGGAAGGCTAAGTCCTGTGGCGACTGGGCATTGAGAAGTCTGGTGGGCTTAGCCCACCCCTCCCCCATGACATCCCTCTTCCACCCCTCCAACTCCCCACAGAGGCCAGGCCCCCAGCAGTTTCCTCCTACTTGTTTCACAACTCTGCTCGCAGTCACTGGGCACTCTGGGTGGACAGTGCTGAGTTGTCCTTTTTGGGTGGAGTTTCACATTCCCGAGGGCTCAGGCCTTCCCATAAGTGGGCTGTCTCTGCTGTCTACTCAGGAGGTGACAACTTGATGCACAGTCACAGGCAGTCACAGGCCAGGGCTTTTCATTTCCCCACTAGCCCTCTTCCCCCCTTCTTTTAAAGATTTATTTATGCATACGAGAACTGGGGTACAGGCCAGAGGTGAGGGGGTGAGAGGATTCACAAGAGAGAGTGGGGAGCACAACAGGCAGATCTACTGAAATACACTGCTGAGGGGAGCAGCGGGTGAGGCAGGAGAGGTCTGCTGTACCAGGTGGGTTGCTCCCTGGCAAGCTGGGGATCTAACTGGAGCTGCAGTAGCTGATGATAGCTTGATAGCACTGTCTTTAACTCCTCTGCCACCAGGGAGGCCCCTTCTTCCCCTTTTCTTGAAAGCGCTGAGGACAGCATCCCACTGAACCCCCTTTTGCTGCTGCAGAAGGCAGGTAAAAGTTTGCTGCCTCCCCACAGGGAGACTGAGATGAAGAAATCACACCATGGAGCAGGCTGGTGGGGTGGGTCAGGGTGTGTAAATGATCTATGTCCTACTCTGGCCTCTGATCCAGCTAGAATTCCCCCGTCCCTGCCCTTCCCCCATCTGAACTGTACCTCCTCCCCAAAGGAGAGCGATTCACAACTCAGAAGGCTGGGCTGGAACAGCCCATTCACCTCCAACCCTCCTGCGGATCAGCCTGGAGAGTTCCTGTGACCTGTTGAGGCTTGCTCTGGCCTGGGGGAGGAGGAATCTCTTAATTCTGGAATGTAAAAAGGCAGCTTCTTTATTTTTAGTGTCTAAAACATATGCTTTACTTTTCTAGGTGACACAGACATATTTTACTCATGGACACAAAAGTCTTAGTTCTCTTTTTTTTTTTTTTTAATTTTTTTTTTCTTTTATAGAGGCATGTTTTATTTATTTATTTATTTATTTGTTCGTTTGTTTTGTTTATACAAGCACTGGGTACAGTCAGAAGCGCGGGAGGGTGAGAGAATTCACCAGAGCCAGAGCAGGGAGCAGAGCGGGGAGCAGAGCAGGCAGAAGGACGGAAGTACACTGTTGAGGGGAGCAGCGGGCGGCAGGAGAGGTCTGCGCGCCATGTGGGACCCTCCTCCGGTGGCTGGGGAGCAGCCTGGAATCGAACCGGCGCCGCAGAGGCCGCGGGCAGCCTCGCAACCCAGCGCGCAACCGCTGCGCACTGGGGAGGCCCAAGTCTTAGTTCTCTTGCACCAAGGAGTCCAATCTAAACCTAAATGCTGACATTTCAGTTAGCATGATCTAGCGATCCTATGAATTCCCATGATTAAACTCAGTGAAACCTTTAATTTACCAAGAGACATCTGGAGAGCTACTTCACACATGGTAAAAGGAACAGATTCAAATGGGAGTCACCTCCATCAATACTTGATATCCAAGAGCTTGTGGTGCCTGAAACTTTAGGACCTGTTTATATTAACTAATGGTTCAGGGGATCTCCCTGGTGGCTTACCGGTTAAGTCTCAGTGTTGTCACCCCTAGGGCCTGAGTTTGATCCGGGACAGGGAGCTGACCCACATGGGGCAGCAGACCTCTTCTGTCTTGCCAGCTGCTCCCCTCTGCAGTGGGTTTCAGGAGATCCACCTGTTCTGTTCCCCACTCTGTTTCTGGTGAATCCTCTCACCCCCTCCACACCTGTGGCCTGCACCCCAGTTCTTCTATGCAAAATTAAATAAAATCTTAAAAATATTAAATAATGGGACAAAATAAAGGAAGGACTGTTTCAGATCTTGAGTTCCAGATTGACTGTAGCGGGGAGTTCACCTCTGGGAGAAAGTGAAACTAAAAATTCAGATTAGTGAGTCCCTGGCGTCGACAGCACTGTCTGGGGGTGATTTCCTGGGGACAGTAGATATGGCTTTCCTGGGTTCTTCCAGTTGCTGACAGCTGCCCAAGGTTGGGGAGAGCAGAAGAGGACAGCAGTGATCCTGCAGGTAGGAAGGGAATGGCTTAACCAGCCCGGGATGGGGTGGAGACTTTGAGGCAAGGCTTTTTCATAGAGTGGTGTCTTGGTAGATGTGTAGAGATGTGAACATTTCTTGATCTCTTGCTGCATGCCTGTCATTGTTCTAGACCAAGAGATATGAAGATCAGTTCATTCTGAATTAATGAAGTAAATAATTTTTCTATTTTATCTTTGTAGACTTGTTTCTTTAAAGGTCCGGTCCTGGCCTCCCTGGTGGCACAGGTGCTAAAGTCTCAGCGCTATTAAGCTATGCAGCCTGAGTTTCGTCCCAGGCCATATTGCTGACCCACACAGGGCACAGCAAACCTCTCCTGTCTCGCTTGCTGCTCCCCTCAGCAGTGGATTTCAGTAGATTGGCCTGCTCTGCTCCCCAGTCTGTCTCCGGTGAATCTTCTCACCTCCCACACCTCTGGCCTACATCCCATTTCCTGTATGCATAAATAAAAAAATGAATCTTAAAAAAAAATAATAAATATCGGGTGCTCACTCTGTATCAGCTGTACTCCCAGAGCAGTTAACAAAAGTCAAAAAGTCCTTGGGGGCCTCCCCTGATGGCGCAGTGGTTGAGCGCTGCGCTGCAGAGGCTGCCCGCAACCTCGGCAGCGCCGGTTCATTCCCCGGCCGCCTGCGAGGGTCCCACCAAAAAAAAAAAAAAAAAAAAAAAGTCAAAAACTTCTTTTTGGGTGGAGTTTACATTTCCATGAGGACACAGGTGAGGTTCACAGAGGCAAGTGAAAGGGCCCCAGCTCCAGGACCTGTTCCATGGGGTGTGGGATAGATAATGAGTTTGAATATTTGAAAACTAAAACTTTCTGTGCAACAAAAAATAGCATGTATTAAAAGCAAGGAAACATTTACATCATATACAGCAAAGAATTAGTAGCTTAATTTTTTTATGTACATTGAAAATGAACAAGCATGTAAAAAATGAAGGCACAGCAAAGATTACTAAAATGAGAGGAGGGGCCTCCCTGATGGCCTGGGGTCAACTCTCAGTGCTCTCACCTATATGGCCTGAGTTGGATCCCTGACCAGGGAGCTGACCCACATAGGATGTAGCACACCTCTCCCTTTTTACCTGCTGCTCCCCTCAGCAGTGTATTTCAGTCGATCCACCTGTTCTGTTCCCCACTCTGTCTCTGGTGAATCCTCTCACCCCCCACACCACACCCCTGGCATACAGCCCAGTTCTCCTATGCCCCCCCCCAAAAAAAGAATAATTGATATTCAATATGTTTCACATTTAAAGTTCATGATTTTGGTTAAGTGTGGACTTGAATTCTTACCTGCAAAACCTTCTCCGCAGGGCCTCCCCGGTGGCGCAGCGGTTGAGCGCTGGGTTGCAAGGCTGCCCGCAGCCTCTGCAGCGCTGGTTCGATCCCCGGCTGCTCCCCGGCCACCAGAGGAGGGTCCCACATGGCGCACAGACCTCTCCTGCCGCCCGCTGCTCCCCTCAGCAGTGTACTTCGGTCCTTCTGCCTGCTCTGCTCCCTGCTCTGGCTCTGGTGAATTCTCTCCCTCTCCCGCGCTTCTGACTGTACCCAGTGCTTGTACAAATAAATTAAAAAAAAATAATAAATCTTAAAAAAAAAAAAGTCTTAAAAAAAAAAAACAAACCTTCTCCGCAGTCAAGGTCATGAATGTATCTGTCCCCTGCAGAGGTTCCTGCTGCCTGGTTGTCATCCCATTCCCCAACCCCCCTTCAGTCCAGATAACAACAGATCTGTCAGCATGAATTATTGGTATTTTTTGTTTGATTCCATTCACTTTTTGCTTGGGAGTCTTCCCCCCATTGAGTACTTTGAGAAAAGTTTTCAATTAGCAATAATCGCGCCTCGGATAAACCTCAATGTCTACGATACTGCCACTGCGCAAAGCTGCCCATTGAGTACTTTGAGATTCATCTATGTTATTGCTGAGTAATAGACCATTGCGAGCACATACTACAAGTAGCTTATCCACTCATTTGTTGATGCCAGTAGGTTGGTGCCAGTTTTGATGAACGTCACGTACACATCTTTGTGAAGACGTATGCCTGCCTCTCTCCACAGTAATTACCGAGGCGTGGAATGGCCGGATCATAGGGTAGATGTACATCAGACTTCCTAAGAACCTCCCATCTTGTTTTCCAAAGTGGTGGCAGCATTTCTCATGCCCACTGGCAGCATTTCTCATGCCCATGTGGCCCAGTGGCTGGGTGTCCTTGCCAACACGTGGTGTGGTGGGTCCTCAACTTGGAACCACTCTTGGCAGTGTGTGTTGGTATCTCATTTGGGCTTTGATTTACATTTTGAGGTAATTCATGATGCTGAGTATCTTCTTGTGTATCTTTTCGATATACATGTCTCTTTGGTGAAGTGTCCATTCAAATTAATTGCCCTTGGTTGTAGCTGGATTGTTTCTTACTGAGTTTTGAGAGCTCTTTACATATTCTGTTACAAGACCTTGATCAGGTGTGTGATTGTCAGCATTTTCTCCCAGTTTGTCCCTTCTCTTTGCATTCTCCTAATAGTATCTTTCAAAGAATGTACAGTTGGGCAGAGACTACTTAATCTCAGCTGAGGCAGATCCGTTCTCCCTTCTTTCAGACCAGAGGCCTTTGCTACAAACATCCTCTACTAAGTCCTCAGTTGGGCCAAGAAGCATACAAGCTTGATTTCTCTCTTTGAATTTGTTGGAGCAGAGTTATTGAAGCCAAACTGTGTGTCTTATGTTTGGTGCTGTTCAATCTAGACATCATTTGTTGCAGACAGCTGGAACAAACTGTGTTCCGACAATCAAAAGTATGTTTTATTCAGTGAATGTGGATTACAGCAAACTGAAGGAAGAGTTTTTCTTTTTCCTTTTTTTAAATTTCTTTTATTTTTGCATAGAACTTGGGTGTAGGCCAGAGGTACAGGGCAGAGAGGGATTCCCCAGAGACAGAGTGGGGAGCAGAATAGGCAGATTGACTGAAATCCATTGCTGAGGGGAGCAGCAGGGAAGACAGGAGAGGTCTGCTGTGCCCCATGTGGGTCAGCTCCCTGGCTGGGGATCACACTCAGGCTGTAGCGGTGATAGATCTGAGACTTAACTCCTGGGCCACCAGGGAGGTCCCCCTCCCCCCTCCCCTCCGTTTTTAACAATGACTTATAATGCTAATTATTTTTTTTTTCTTTAAAATATTTTCTGTTTTTTTTTTTTTTTTAATAGAGGCATGCTTTATTTATTTGTTTGTTTTTTTGTTTATACATGCACTGGGTACAGTCAGAAGCGCGGGAGGGTGAGAGAATTCACCAGAGCCAGAGCGGGGAGCAGAGCAGGCAGAAGGACCGAAGTACACTGCTGAGGGGAGCAGCGGGCGGCAGGAGGGGTCTGCGCGCCATGTGGGACCCTCCTCCGGTGGCCGGGGAGCAGCTGGGGATCGAACCAGGGCAGCAGAGGCCGCGGGCAGCTTCGCAACCCAGCGCTCAACCGCTGCGCCACTGGGGAGGCCCAATGCTAATTATTTTTGAGTGTCTAGTTTAAGCAATCCTTCCCTTTCCCAAATTTTATAAATATATTCTGTATTTTCTTCTAAAAAGTTTGTTTTGCCTTTTACTTTCAGGTTGTTAAACCACGATGAGTTGGTTTTTCTGTGTGGCATGAGGTAGGGTTCAGTTTTTACTACATAGTGGTTTTAGTTTTCTCTCTTTAGTTTCTGAAATTACTTGCCTTGAGAACCAATTAGTATTAAGATTCTATAATAATGAAGCAAAACAAAGTATCAACCCCACAGTTTTATTTGTAAAGAACAAAGCATGAAAAGTCATATTTAAATGTACTCCAAAACCTGAAAAACCCAGGTGAGTTTCTCTGATATGTATGTTAAAGTGCAGGATATCACAATACTCTTTACATTTTATATTATGTTCAGATGAGGAAAAGAAAATCCAGTTATGGTGCATTTTGTTAACAACACAAAGAAAAACAATATAATTTAAATGCAGAAATGCTCATTTTAAAAAAAAAAGATACACAGGACACATTTCTACATGGCTCAGGCGTGGCACAGAGTTTTTCTGTATGTTGAACACCTTCATTGGCTTGACAACAGAAACACCTTTCCATACCGCTCTACTGGGAACAGATGTGGTGCTGGGAATAAGGACAGGCGCCACACACATACATTCAGGTAACTGGACTAGATGTGATTCCTGCCCATAACCCAAGGATACCCTGGATTCCTCCAAATGAGAACACATTTTGTGATTTTTTTTCACTCTGGTATTAATTGCTCAGCATTTTCTTTCTGAAGCCTATCAAAATGTATGCTTGCAAGGACGGTCAGCTCTGATAAGTCTTCTCATCACACCCATCAGCCCCGTCTTCCAAAAGCTTGGACATCAGCTTAATGCATTTTGGTAGGAATAAGGGACCCTACCTTGTCAGCTATTTTTTATTTGTATTTTTATGCTAAATGGTCATGGACGAAATACTCATAGAAGAAACAAATACTTGTAAGCTTTAAAAGACCTGGATGATTGGGAGACCGGGTACGCTTTATAAAAGTAGAGAAGAGCTCAAGCCTCCGTTCTCAAGTAGTGAAGGTGTGTTAACACTGAAAAAGAAGCAGCTGTGCTTCAGACAGCCCCTTGGCAAGGTGAGGATAGACTAGTTTCTGTAAACCTTACAGAGAAAATACTCACAGTTCTCTAAGTGAAAGTCTACTGAAAAGTCACAATTCTTAGCAGAAGTTACTTCATCATGAAGAGGGACACTCAAAGCTCGTCCTGGCCTATGGCCACATGTTTCCAAATGTCTTAGAGGTGTCAGCACAGGCTCACCGGGCTGGGAGGGACAGTCTCTCCCCCTTTCCACACCCATTTACAACAACAGAGCTTTATTGCTGAAAGAGGAAGCAGGCTGTCCAGTGCCCATATCATCCACATAGTGCGACAGAACCTCATTAAAGTGATTAAAAAAATATCACTCTAAAGTAAACACCACAGGGTCACAAAAGGACAAAAACATGAAACATTTAAAGTACATTTTAGAGGGAAATGACAAACTTTTGCAAATTTTGGGTTTCTGTATCAACTCTGGCCCGGCAGAAGGAGGTGGGCAGGGCTTGGAGCTCCCCATCTGGAGCCCCTCACGCACAGGTCACACTGGGCTGCGTAGCCTGCGGTGCTGGTGAACCAGCCCCGCCTTAGGTCCTACACAGCAACGAGGGCATTGCCATGGAGCACAGCCAACTAGGCCTCCAGGACACTGGAAAACTCAAGAGGTAATGTTTGTGGCAAATTAACTTTAAAACTACTTCTTACGCTACTAACACTAGTAATGGTTCTCAGCATTCCTTTTAGTTTGTTTGGGGGGGGGTCAATTAAAATTGACTTTCATTTACTTTCACCTTGAGGTGCGACCATAGAACCAAATGCTAACTTGGAAAGTTGGCAGGGCAGAGAGGCCATGTGTATGGTCATCCCAAGTCAGCTTCCCTGGAGGGCTCGGTACATTTTCTCCAAGGATTCCACTGCTGCCCTCAAAACATGCGAGCCCGGGTCAGATAGAACAGGCCTGAGTCTTATTTCTTTATAATGACATCTCAGGTGAGCCCCAGATGTAGCTTATGCTATATCCTTCTTGTTTATCATCTTAGACCCTTTGGGCTTTTGTTGTTTATGAGTGCTAAGTGTCTTCTGAAAGGCCAAGACTTGCCCCCGCCAGGACCAGGCATGGGGGCTGGAGGTGCCTTTGGGAGCTGGGAGTGGAAGCTGGCTGTTTGGAGCCCCAGCAGCACCTGGCCTCCCTGGATGTCAGTTCCTGTGAGTTTCTTTCTTCTGAAATCAGTCACCCCGCTAAGCAGAGTGGGAGGATACTGGAAGATTAACTATTTTGGGGGCTATTACTTTTTAAAGTAATGGATTTATCCGCAGACTCCCAAATCCAATTTTGCTCTTAGTTTTCACAAGAGATACCCTTTCTCAATCACTGGGGAACAATTTGTTAAATGAATATTAATGTTTATGCATGATAATCACAAAGAGTGCTGATCCTTGTTTCCTAGCTGTGTAGCTGGGTCAATCAAGATCCAAGGGTAAAAATACCACTGATATGAGTGTCCTGGAGGCTGACCTCACACAGCCTGGTGTAACCGAAAGATGCGAGTTAGACCTGTGTGGTGACTGGCCAGCTGTGGGGCAGCACTGAATCTCTTATGCGTTCCCACCCACAAGACAAGGAGGCTGTAACTGTCCTCTGTCGGCCTTCCCAGCTTGTCAGGAGCACAGCCTATGGGAAGGCTGACCAGCATAAATCCTAGGTGGGTTCTTCCGCGGTTTCTGTTCACTGGTCTGATGCGAGTAGGCCAGCACCCTTCCTCATTGCTTTTCCCTCAATGCAGCTCTTCCTCCCAAGCCCCAGGCCACCTGGGGAGGGGTGTCAGGCAGCAGCCCTGGCTGAGGTGACCAGCTGCCGCATCTATGGGACTTCCTGAGAAAACGCCCAGCTGCAGCCACTCACAGCCCTTGCTCTCTCCAACTGAGGCTCTGCTTTCGTTTCATTTTCCAAGTCTGTGCCCTGACACCAGCTCTTAGAAGGCCTAAGTCTGGCCCTGAACCCCCACAGAGGGCTGGTTCTTTCTTCCCCTCCTGTTATTTTCATTTTCACAGTCAACAAACACCTTCACAAAAAGGTTCCAAGCCCAGGAAGGCCTCTCCTCCACCCCACACTCCTGTCACTTCCTGGGGGGACGGGCAGGAGAGGCAGGCAGGAGAGGCAGGCGGGGCACCCATGCTGGATGGCCCTGCTTTCCTGAGGGGCGCCAGGCAGGCTCCTGATGGGAGGACAGTGAAGGAAAGGACTGGATACTATTGCTGTTTCTGGTCCTTCAGATGTCGAGGCCAACACTGTGAAACTCGTATCTCCCCAAAGTACCTCAAATAATAAGAGTAAAAATGCCAAGAATGAAGTGAGTCCGGGCTAATCTTCCACAGTGTAAAGAAGTTATAATCCCACCACGTAATACACTCTCGGCGCTCCGTGTGTTCTCCTGCCAGTTCTTCAGCCAAGCTCCTTGGGGTCAGGACTCAGATATCTGAATTACAGCTTCATCTTGTGGATGGAAGTTTTTTCCCAAAAGCCTGGAGAATGACTCAATTCAATTGTATGAAATCATCTGTAACTTAAAAGATACCAGCGAGGACGCCCCGCTTGTAGATGATGCCGTTTACATTCACAGTCAGAGGCGTGGAAGCCGCAGGTTCACTGTGTTGACAGGTTTCCGGGCTTGTTCCTGACTAGCGCCACTCTGCCCCCACCCCCAGCTCCCTATGCTTTTAAGCTACTAATTTTAAGTCACAGGAATATTCAATCTAAGAAAAGTATCTTATTAGAGTAATATAATTTCTTCAAGAAGAGAGCATATTTACACACATCTACCACATGAAAATACTCTATTTTATACTAAATTCCAGGTTCAAATGAACTACAATACAGTGTTTTGCCTTGTCTGCAGCGCCAGGGCTGTTCCGGTGGGGGCCGCTCCCCCGGGAGGCTCGTGAGCTGTTCAGTCGGTGCTGTAGAGGGGGAGGCTCGGGAACCAAGGTCTGGACTGAGGTCCTAGCCACGGGGTCACACATCCACTCCTTTGATGAGGGACCCTTCCAGGACGATGGGGAAGTCCTGAATGGTCTGCAGGACGCGGATGAGGGAGTTGACAGTCATATGGTCTCGCAGCAGGGCGCTCTCCTCGTACATGCGAGCGATGGCGGGACACTCGGCCAGCAGCGGGATCCACTGTGGGAGCAGGTGGTCCCTGTGGGCAGACAAAGGGGCTGAGTACGTGCCTTCTGGGAGCCGGAAGGAGCAAGGGGATGACGGGGCAAATTCAGCCAGGTTCCCGGGTTAGGAGAGCAAAGCAAAGCCAGCAAGCTGGACTTTCATTGGTTAAAAAGATACAGTGGGGCCTCCCTGGTGGTGCAAGGGGTTAAGATGCAACCTATGAAGCTGTCCGCAGCCTCAGCAGCACAAGTTCGATCCTGGGCTGACCAGGGAGCAACCCATATGGCGCAGCAGACCTCTCCTGTCTCCCCCGCTGCTTCCCTCAGCAGTGTACTTTGGTCAATCTGCCTGTTGTGTTCCCCACTCTGTCTCTGGTGAATCCTCTCACCCCACCCCCACGCCTCTGGCCTGTACCCCAGCTCTTGTATGCATAAACAAATCTTAAAAAAAAATAAATAAAAAGGGCCTCCCTGGTGGCGCAAGGGGTTAAGCACTGCACTATGAAGCAAATTCGCAGCCTCTGCAGCACCAGTTCAATCCCCAGCCAGCCAGGGAGCAACCCACATGGCGCAGCAGACCTTTCCTGACTCGCCCGCTGCTCCCCTCAGCAGTGTACTTCGGTCAATCTGTCTGTTCTGTTCCCTACTCTGTCTCTGGTGAATCCTCTTACCCCCCGCATCTCTGGCCTGTACCCCAGCTCTTGTATGCATAAATAAATAAATCTTTAAAAAAAATAAATAAAAAAATATAGCGATGAGATAATGAAGCTAATGGGAAAACCCACAGGTTCTAAAAATGAATCTGGCCACTTACTGGAGACATTCTCTATTCTGATGTCACCTTTTTCAAAAAGAGGCAGAATGCCATCTTCTGTCTTTTTCCTATGGGGTGTTATTCAGACTTCCCTGGCAAGGTATGCCAAAAAAGATGGACCTTTCGGGAAGAATGAATACATTTCATAGTAGAGATCACTGTTTTTTGTTTTTTTTTTAAGATTTATTTATTTTTTTAGATTAAAAAAAAGATATATTTATTTATGCATATAAGAACTGGGGTGTAAGCCAGAGGTGCGGGGGTTGGGGGGAGGCGGGGGGTGAGAGGATTCACCAGAGACAGAGTGAGGAGCAGAACAGGCAGATCTACTGAAATACACTGCTGAGGGGAGCAGCGAGCAAGACAGGAGAGGTCTGCTGTGCCATGTGGGTTAGCTCCCTGGATGGCCTAGGATTGAACTTGTGCTGCAGTGGCTGGTGATAACTTAATAGTGCTGTCTTTAACCCCTGTACTACTAGGGAGACCCTTAAGATTTATTTTTACCTATCTATGCATACAAGAACTAGGGTATAGGCCAGAGGTACAGGAGGGTGTCAGAAGATTCACCAGGGACAGAGTGGGCAGCAGAACAGGCAGACTGACTGAAATCCACTGCTGAGGGGAGCAGCGGGCAAGTCTGGAGAGGTCTGCTGCACCATGTGGGTTAGCTCTCTCGTAGGGATGGAATTTAGGTCATAGTAGCTGGCGATGCTTGCTAGTGCTGAGACTTTGACCCTGTGCCACCAGGGAGGGCACTGTTTGCCTGTTCTGTTTTTTAAAAACTTATACAGCAGGGGCCTCCCTGGTGGCCTATGGGTTAAGTCTCAGTGCTATCACAACCACAGCCTGAGTTCAATCCCCGGTCAGGGAGCAGACTTACATGGTGCAGATCTCCCCTGTCTCACCCACTGCTCCCCTCAGCAATGGATTTCAGTCAATCTGCCTGTTCTGCTCCCTGCTCTGTCTCTGGTGAATCCTCTCACTCCTGCACCTCTGGCTTACACAGTTCTTCTATACATACACAAAAAATCTTATACAGCAGTAACAGTAAGGAACAAAATCAAAGCAAAGAAACATTAAGTAGATTTTTTTTTACACTGAAAGAGGGTCTGCATTGGTTATAAAGTCAGAATAGTAAAGAGAAAACAGGAGATAAAGATCTTTAAAGAGGAACTTTAAAAATGGCAGAAATTGGGCCACTTTTACTTTATTTTTAAGATTTATTTATTTATGCATACAAGAATTGGGATATAGGCCAGAGGTGCGGGGGGCTGGGGTGAAAGGATTCACCAGAGACAGAGTAGAGAACAGAACAGGCAGACTGATTGAAATCCACTCCTGAGGGGAGCAGCAGGTGAGACAGGAGGGATCTGCTGTGCCATGTAGGTCAGCTCCCTGGTTGGGGATCAAACTCATGGTGCAGTGGCTGTGGATAGTTTCAGAGTGTTGACACTTAACCCTTTGCGCCCAAGGGGCCACTTTTATTAAGAAATATACAGTGCACTTTGCAAGCCCACTGTTTCTTGAACCAGTGCTGACACTGTTATCTGTCACTGCACCTAAGCTGTCCTTGAATTCCCTCAGCATTTTCCACACAAGGGCAGCTGCAAGGAACCCCCTCTCCCTGCCCCCGCCCCCCCCCACCCCCCGCCCCAGTATCTCCTTGGCCTTGAGGGTTTGGAAGGAGATAAACATTGTACATGGAACTTGAAAGAAATCTTCTAAAGGTCTCTGTGCTTCATTTCTCACAACTCTGAGAGCTGTTTAAAAATCAACACACTTTACAGCTCCTATGTGTCCCTTTCATAAAAGAGAGGCAGGAATTAGTCTTAGAGACTATATTTATGTAGTAGAAATTTCACAGTTAGCACATTGACACCCACAAGCACTATGCAGTGGGTACGTGTGTGCTGAGGTCCCTACTTCCCTGTCTGCCTACCTGCCGCTCTCCGTGCGGGGCAGGGGCCGAGCCTGGGCTTTGGTGGGGCCTGACCTCAGCGCCACTGTCTCTTTGAATTGTGTGACTTGGGAATGTGTGTTAGCATCTCTGTGCCTCACTGTGTTGTCTCCAGGTGAGGGCATCAGCTCTTCTACTTCCTGCAGCGACTGTGATGAAGTGGGGGTGGAAGGGTGAATTCGATGAGATCACGTGTGTGAACTGCTCTGCACATTGCCCAAGGCAGAGCAAGCAGCCAACACACTGGGAATGAAGGACCCCTGGAGCTTTGGGAGGGGCAAGGCGGGGCGGGACGAGGCCTCCCCAGATGCTCACCCCTGTGTAGCAAGGACAGGGAAAGTATGTCCATACCGTGTTCCCAGGCAAACTAAGATCTGGAATTTGCCATCCTTCCCGATGCTCCTGGGCGCGGTGTTGATGGCGCTGACATAGTGGCAGAAAGTTCTGCTGGATGACTTCTGGAGGAGGACGTCATCTTCACTGTCTAGAATCTGGTCAGTGGTTTCAAAATAAGCAACCGCTTTCTCTGGGGAAGGAAGGCAGAATCACATCACGACACATGGCAATGTGTGGTAGTCAGACAGGGCCACTGAGGGGATTCTGGAAAGCCTGCAAGTCATACTTTGCAGGGTAGCCTATGCAAGGTCAAGGTCATTGGTTTCACAAGCAAGTAGCAGGGCGTGCATAGCTCCTGAGGGCCGGCCTCTGCCCACTTTCCTTTCTTTCTCCCCGAAATTCCTAAATTAGATGAAATCAATGACTTGCCTAGGCCTTATTTACAAAACATAAAGTGAGGAATCACTCCTCTAAAGTAACCAGGAATTCGAGCAGAACTGCATACCAGAGACTGCAGAGCCTAGCACAGCCCCCCCCCCCCCACCCCGCTGCTAGGTCCAATGCCCCAGCCAGGAGCACGGTTGCTCTAAGGAAGTGCATTTTAAATGTGATTTAAATTAAGTAAATTTAGGTGTGCTTACCATGTTGGACAGGAGAGAGCTGCAGCGATGTCTATAAAATGGAGTCTGACCTTGTTAACAACTTTTCAGCCCCCAGACTTTCCTAACTCCCCATTTCATTCAGGATAAAGACCAGTCCGGCTCTGGCAGCCAGGCCCTTTCCCCACATCCTGCCACTCTCGCTGCTCCCCAGGTGTTTCAGGACAAGGCAGGAGGCTTCTAGGCCCTCGCCCTGGGTCCTAGGTCCTGGCGCCCAGCTCCCAGGCTCACCTCCACGAGGGGACAGTGACGGCGCCGACGGCCACCCTCCTGAGGTAGCAAGTCCAGCTCCACTTCCTCTAACCTTGTTTGTTTTTTTCCCCCCATATCAAAGATCACCTAACAAACTGGGTGGCATGCAAACTTGTTAGGTTTTTTTGTGCTGTTTGTTCTCCCCAGCCTCCACCCCCTGCCCAGAATATAAGTTTGTCATCCAAGAAACTGTATGTTTTGCTTACTTATGCATCTGGAATTTCTATCCTGACATTTGGAGTAATGGTGGAATACTGTGGATGCGAAGTAAAAGAAGCTGTTGACTGGTGAAAAGCAAGCACGGTGCGTATTGGCTACTTACTTTAATAGCACACTCCTTGCCACTAACTAGCCAGTTCAGTGAGGTCCTTTGCTGGGCCTCAGCGCCCAGAGGACCCTGGAGAGCATACTGGCAGAATGGGTCTCATTACCAGAGCTGATGAGACTCAGTAACAACAAAGAAAATAATCCAGTCAAAAAATGGGCAGAAGAGCTAAAAAGAAACTTCTCTGAAGAGGAAATGCAAATGGCCAACAGACATATGAAAAAATGTTCAACATCACTTGTAATCAGGGAAATGCAAATCAAAACTACCATGAGATACCATCTCACACCAGTGAGAATGGCACATATTAAAAAAACTAGCAACAACAAATGTTGGCGAGGATGTGGAGAAAAAGGAACTCTTCTGCACTGTTGGTGGGAGTGCAAACTGGTCCAACCACTATGGAGAGCTGTGTGGAGATTTCTGGACCTACTAAACATAGAGCTTCCATATGATCCAGCAATTCCACTCCTAGGTATTTACCCAAAGGACACAGAAATGTCCATTCCAAAGAGCACCTGCACCCCTATGTTTATAGCAGCACTGTTTACAATAGCTAAGCTTTGGAAACAACCCAAATGCCCAAAAATAGATGACTGGATCAAGAAGATGTGGTACATATATACCATGGAATATTACTCAGCATTCAAAAAAGATAAACACATGCAATTTGCAGCAACATGGATGGCGCTGGAAGGGATCATGCTCAGCGAAATAAGCCAAAAAGAAAAAGAAAAATACCGGATGGTCTCACTCATAGCAGGAATCTAGAAAACTTAAATAAGGGACCAGGAAAATGAATATAAGAAAGTGAAAATCAAAATCAACAAAAAACTATGAACCAGAGACACTTTTTGGGGGGTGGGGGGCGGGAGGGGAAGGATTGGGGTCAGAATGGGGCGTTTGCAATTGTATGGGGGAATATAAAAATAAAATTTAATATTAAAAAAAAAAAAAAAAAGAATGGGTCTCATTACCTATGAAGTCCCAGATGAAGACATTCTTGTGGAAGATGCGGGCAGACTTGAAGCCGTGATGGAAGACGTGCTCCAGGGCCGCCACCAGCCCGTTCTCACCACACAGCAGCACCGTGAGGCTCCCCCTCTGTGGGCATAGCACAGGCCTGTCAGTCACACGAGCCCGTGCCCTCAGGACACCGAGAACTGGTGTGGGAGGCAGGCTTGGGGCCTCACAAAGCAAGGCGGCGCTGCCTCAGGGTGCATGGCATATGGGGCAGCCTGAAGGACCCCACAGCGATGAGTCTAATGGCCTCTTACCTCTTTCTCAGGCTTGTGAAAATGTTTCACGATGTTGTTCACAGCTTCCCCGATTCCCTCTTGGATCTGCCCCGCATTGGGCTCTGAAACAATAAACAGTGGCTGGTTCTCAGGATGGGGAAATGAGCAGAGCATGCGGACGACAGCATCCCCCAGGTGGGAAGCCTTGCTCAGGTGGCCAGGTGGGTGGCACCAGGGGCTCCCCAAGTGGGGGGGAGCTTGGGCACCATGGAAAAGAACCCCGGAGGGCCCCCAGATTCAAATCCCGGCTTTGACACTTGGCACTCCATAACCTTGACCAACTGTCTTCTTCCAAGTTTGAATTCCCTCAGCCTGAAATTGGGAAAAGATACATCTCGTGGGCCAGCAGGCAAAGGGAATGAGGTATCAGGTGTGAGTCAGGAAGGGCGAGGTAGCCCCAGGTCGGCAGGGTGAGCTGGGAGCCCACAGCACCACTTCTCAGTCACCCTGTAGCCAATTCCCTCTGAGGCCCCTTCCTTGTGGGCATGGACTCTGAGTCTGGGCAAGGCCATCATGGGGGTGTGTTTTGTGTCTAAAGCAACGGGAAGATGGGGGGTGCAGGGGCACCTGGCCTGAGGCGGGGGACCCTCCTTCCCTGGTTAGTCTCTGGGTGAGGCCTTGCTCTCCCCTAGCTCTTCTGGGCCCTGCTCCCAGAGGAGAGTTTGGTGGTGGCTTGAAGAGGATTCTAAACTGTTTTGCCTTTCAAACCCAAGAACAGTTAAAAAAAAATGTTTTTTTTTTTCCCTGAGGTGGCTAGCTATTAAATATCATTTTCATACCACACGATAAAGGACAACTACATTTGGAGTCTCTGAAATGTAGGAACTGCACACTGCTAAAGGAATTTCTCACACAAAACATTCTTTTTGTAAAAGTCAAGTGCTTTCTACACCAGTGCATAAAAATTGTGAAAATGGAAACTGAAACATGTTCAGCTCCCGGCCATTTATTTTTACTTTTACCTTTGAGTATTTTCTCTTTTCAACCTGAGGAACTATGTTGCAAGCTTTGATTTTATTCATTCCAGAAGAACCCTGTACCCATTAGTAGTATTTTGAAACTGATTTAAATCTTTTAGTTCTCTAAATAACACCACAGAAACACGCTATGAGAAAGTACCAAGCCACCCACTTCTGAATTTCAGGTTAGTTCACACTTTCTGCTTCTTGAGTCAGGAAAGAAAATACGACCCAAAGTGGGGGAGGTGGTCTCTCCACACAGGCGGACCCCAGCCCTAGGCTAGCTCAGGGACTTAAGGGCTGTTGGGGAGGCCAGTGCAGGGACAGCTTGCTTATGCTTAACATGACATTTCCTGACTATGTCTGACATCGTAAGAATATCAGAAAATACATCCCCCTGATAAGTACAGACATTTTGTTAGCATTATAAGTAACTGAAACTTCATTCTCCACAGCACATACTCTCCCAAGGGCTTTGTGGGCACAAGCTGATTTAACCCTCATAACCATCCTATTAGCTATATGAAGGACTCGAGAAAAATAAGCTTGATGGTTGGGGTGCACTGAGCTGAAGTCTACTTTCTAATTTTTTTTTTTAAAGATTTATTCATGGGCCTCCCCGGTGGCACAGCGGTTGAGCGCTGCGTTGCGAAGTTGCCGCCAGTTCGATCCCCGGCTGCTCTGTGGCCACCGGAGGAGGGTCCCGCATGGCGCGCAGACCTCTCCTGCCGCCCGCTGCTTCCCTCAGCAGTGTACTTCGGTCCTTCTGCCTGCTCTGCTCCCCGCTCTGGCTCTGGTGAATTCTCTCCCCCTCCCGCGCTTCTGACTATACCCAGTGCTTGTATAAATAAATAAATAAATAAATAAATAAATAAATCTTTAAAAAAAAGATTTATTCACTTATGCATACAAGAGCTGGGGTACAGGCCAGAGATGCGGTGGGTGAGAGGGTCCACCAGAGACAGAGTAGGGAGCAGAACAGGCAGATCTACTGAAATACACTGCTGAGGGGAGCAGCGGGCGAGGTCTGCCCGGCCATGTGGGTTTCTCCCTGGCTGGGGATCGAACTCGTGCTGTAGAGGCTGCGGATTGCTTCATAGTTTGGTGCTTAATCCCTTGCGCCACCAGGGAGGCCCTACTTTCTAATTTTAAAGCAGCATAATTAAGGTGTTCATACAATAAATTTTCCAATTTTAAGGGTGCGATTTGATGAGCTCTGATGGGGACAGTCAGAAACCACCCCAGCCATGGCACAGTGTTTCTATCACCCAGACTGCTCCCCTGTCCCTCCACAGTCAGCCCCTTGCCTCGCTCCCAACACTGCTGGTTCCACTGCTGTTCTATCTACAGTAGCCTTTCTAGAATTTAGTAGAGATGAAGGCACAGGGCATGTGACCCTTGGCTGCTGGGACTCACGGGGGCTGCAGGATAGACCCTGGTCTGCCATTTCTAAATCCTGCTGAACAGTACCAGAGCTGCTATGAGGATCTCCGCACATGTCTTTTTTTTTTTTTCCAAGGTTTTATTTATTTTTGCATAGATGAACGAGGGTGTGGGTCAGAGGTGCAGGGGTGGGGGGAGCAGGGTGAGAGGACTCACCAGAGAGAGAGTGGGGAGCAGAACAGGCAGATCTACTGACATACACTGCTAAGGGGAATAGAGGAGCGACAGGAGAGGTCTGCTGTGCCACATGTCAGCTCCTTGGCTGGGGATCGAACTCAGAATGCAGCAGGAGACCTAACCCCCAGGCCCCAGGGTAGCCCCTCCACACAAGCCTTAGTGGAGAGTGTGCTTGCCTCTATTGGGCAAGTGCCTGGGTGCGGGTTTTGGGGTCACGTGCTGCGTGTGTAGGGATATTCTTATTGGACAGCGCTAGCCTGTGTGTGCGCACCCCACAGTGCCTTCCCCTCCTTGGTATTTGGTATTATCAATCTCTTCAATTTTAACTGTTTGGTGGTGTAAGTTTACTTCTGAGTGCAGAAGGGAATTGTGAACGTGTTTCCCGAGGCTCATGTTGGTATAAATGAGAAACCTATTGTTCTTTGAAGAACAGAATGTGAACACCTCATCCTATGAGATCTCAGTCCTATGAGGAGAGGAACTTTTAGAATTTCTTTGAATAAAGGATTCTGGACAGCTAGGTGCAGCTATTGGGGAAAATGTAATCTAGAACTATTCTCATTCCTCCTTTATGTTTCAGGGAAAACAGCCTCTGTTCACATTTCCACAGCTTACAGTAAAACAGAGCATGTACTTTTTATTAGATTTTAACATCTAAACTGTTTAGGCTTTTAATTATTTGTTAATGTCTTGCTGTAGTTCCTCTCTTTATGTTCTCCCTGCCCTTTTAAAATCTCCTCTCTTAAATCAATTTTCCTTCAATTTATTCTTTATAATCTCACCACAGCTCATTAACTCCAGTTTTCTGTAAATGGCCATGCGACATCTGCAACATTGGGGTGTACAGGAAGGTAAAGACCTGACTGCTTACTGGCGTTCTTTCCCGTCAGCGAGGTGACACTCAGTCTCCGGGCCGTCGTGGGTGATTTCTGTTGGGGGGGCGTCCGGCACTGCTTGGCCAGGTCCTCTTCTGCCGCCGACACCATTAGTTCTCCTATCAGAATCCTCTCCAGGCTGCCATCATCGACACCCTTCCCCAGCCAGCGCCCACATGGGAACCTGGAGGACAGAAAAGAATCTTCTGAAAAAATCACCGACATTTACTGGCTTTATGTGGTACTGTGGTACTCAGCCCATCAGTTTAGTACCTGTGGTTTGTTATTTTCATTGTAAAAAATTTCGAATAAATAGAAAAGCAGAGAGAGGATCTCCCTGGTGGCACAAGGGGTTAAGATGCAACCTATGAAGCTATCCTCAGCCACTGAAGCACGAGTTTGATCCCTGGCCAGGGAGCTACCCACATAGTGCAGCAGACCTCTCCTGACTCACCCGCTGCTTCCCTCAGCAGTGGATTTCAGTCATTGTATTTCTGTCATCTGCCTGTTCTGTTCCCCACTCTGTCTCTGGTGAATCTTCTCACCCTCCACACTTCTGGCCTGTACCCCAGCTGTTGCATGCATAAATAAATATTAAAAAAAAAAAAGAAAAGCAGAAAGAAGAACAAATCACATGCTCATCTCCTAGGTCATATTTCACTTTCATATTTTGCTGATTTATCTTAGAGTAAACCACATGCAGCAGCACATCTCATCCCTAATAACACACCTCTATTTAAATCTGAAAAATAAAGACATTCTCTCTCACATAGGCAGAAATAATCACACTCAACCAAATTAAAATAGTCCTTTAGTATTTTCTCATATATAGGCTGTATTAAAATTCTGTGGAGGGGGGCCTCCCCAGTGGCACCGTGGGTTGAGCACTGCACTGTGAAGCTGTCTACAGCCTCTACAGTGCGGGTTCGATTCCCAGCCAGCCAGGGAGAAACCCACATGGCGTGGCAGACCTCTCCTGCTTGGCCCGCTGCTCCCCTCAGCAGTGTCTTTGGTCCGTCTGTCTGTTCTGCTCCCCACTCTCTCTGGTGGATTCTCTCACCCTCCCGTGCCTCTGACCTGTACCCCAGTTATTGTATAAATAAATAAATCTTAAAAAAAAATTCTGTGGGGTAGTTCTGGGAAGGGTATTTTCAGACTAGAAGTTAAGGTGGGAGTTAAGTTACAGGAGAGAAGAGGAGAGAGTTCCCAGAGGAGGATGGCTGTGGCAGGACAAAAGATCCTCTCCTCCCACTGAAATCACCCTGAGCTGCTTTTTTACCAGTTACAACAATCTTTCTCAACACGGTGTCCCAAGCATTAGCAGTAAACACAGTTCGCTTTATACAAGCATTTCTGGGGCAATTTTATATTACATAAACAGAAGCAAAGCAATATTCAAAAATCTAAACTAAAATCCAGAAAGCAATTGGAAAGCTTCAGAAAGAAAACTATTCTTGACCCTTTCCTGGTGTAGAGAAACTCAGAGGCAGCCCCCTGGGCTCCCAAGGCCATTTGCTTACCTGTAGGTGTGTCCTGTGATTTCATTTCTGACCATGACACAGTCCAGGAGCCATTTGGCCAGAAGTCCTGAGTTATCGTGACCAATCTGGACGGTTGTCAGCTTCCCCAGGTTCTGGCACTGCAGGGACAAGACCACAGGTTACTCAGAACCTGGCCCAGGATGCCACCTCTGGGCTGCTCCCGACACTTGGTTCCGAGTCAACAATGGCCCAGCCCGGGAGAGGGCACTCGGGCAGTGTAACACTAGGAGACCCTTCTCAGGCAGTGCAGCCCTGTTGGAGCGGCTGGGAGATCCTGCCCACCACATAGGGGCAGGGCACTGCACCAGACCAGAGCTGTGACAAGCCTGGAGGGACAAGGCAGGAGGAAAGGTTTTGAGTGGGGGACCCAGAAACCTCAGAGACAGGCTTTATGTCTAAAGGAAGAGAAGAGTTTCATGAAGTGGGAGACCAAGGCATCTCAGGTCAGTTATAGACAGGGCAGGAAAACAGCTACAGGTGTCCAGTCACTGATATGGGTACTCTTTGGATTCCAACAAAGCACTGAAGCAGAACTGACATGAACTCTTCCCTGCTAGAGGTCCCTGGGACTATCATAAAAAAGCACGCATGCCAATGTGCTTCCTGGGTCTTTGTGGACAAACACAAAAGAAAATGGTAGTAAGACAAACAGTAAAAATAAATGTCAGCTAAATTCTGACATTAAATTCCAAGAAGAAATCACAGGCCCCAGCTTACAATGAACGACTCTTTGTGTCACATTGGGAAGGTGGCCCAGGATCGAGGTGAGGGAGACGGCGCTCTGAATGAGCTGAGGCAGCAGATAGGGACAGGAACAGGTAGGTGCCATGGGGGGCCTGGGACCTGCAGTGACAGGGCCTGGAACACAGCTCACACTCCCTCCCTGCCTGGAGTTGGAGAGAAGCCACAGCTTCCATCTCTTCAGAGGGCCGTAGGGCCACTAGGCAGGGGGGGAGACAAAATGGGTCTTGAAGGTGATAGCTGTGAGTGGGACATATGAGCGGGTAAGTTCTTCCCGCACATCAGGAACACCCTGTGCGTGGCTCGAACACCTGCTAACACTTCACCGGGGAAATGAGAGCTAGGACATGGGACACAGAAACCATTTTACAAACATCTCCATGTGGCTTAATGGTCAGCATGGAGGTCAGCTCTGCTCGCTGGGTCCTTCTGCCCAGGTTCAGGCAGGGGCATAGGATATCAGGAAGAGATCACTGTGGGGAGAACATTTACTAGAAGGCTCCACTTTGGGTGCTAGGAATCAGGGCACAGCCCCTGGCAAAGCCCAGAAGTGCAACATCCCACACTGAGAAAAAGGGTATGGCACGGGCAACAGTCACAACAAAAATGCAAGCAAGGGGCATCAGCGTGTGCCACCCCGAGCTGCATAACCACACACAGCTGCATAACCCCCTTTCATACTATTAGATGCCGCAGAAACAAGGAGGTGAAACTGGAGTCCTGGATGCACCGACAAGGGGGGGGAGGTTGGGGGGGCTGGGCTTCCTGCTGGGACAGGATGACCCACCTCAAAGGTCATCTCCAGCAGGCTTTTGGGGATCTGCATGACGCCCGTGTCCCCGAGCTCCCCTGAGACGCAGATCCAAGGGTTGGACGTGATGATGGCGTTGCTCAGCTTCTTGATGGGGATGACCACCGACCTGTACGGAATCACTGGGAGGAAAGGCTGACATCAATCACAACTGACACCCCCACGGCTAATGGCTCGCAGCAAAGGTTCTGTCACCTCTCAGGTAATGTGCACTTTGTGAGGATCAAGAAGGGTGATCACTGCCTCTCGGGCGGGGGCTGCTTACAAAGCAGCAGGCCAGAGCTGCCACCGCGGGCTCCACCACTCTCAGGCACAGCCGAGGACCCGGACCCTCGCTGCGCTCACGGGTCTTCCGCTGTTTTGAGGGTTCAGTCTAGTACCAGTGACCAGTTCCTGGTGCAGGTTCCCAAGAAGAGGAGGGACGGCCTGTTGGCTAGTGAGGGTCCCCCAGCTGTGCTCCAAGCACCTCGATATATCCCTCCCCCTCACAGCAAGGCAGCGCGCACCCAAGGCACCTCATTCGGCGGCAAGGGAAAGCTCTGACGCCGGGGTTGGAAAGCTCCGAGGCGCCCTGAGCGGGAGGAGGTGCAGAGGGCCGGGCCCGCCACCCGCCCACCACGAGATGGCGCTGCGCCCCCGCGTCCCGGCGGGGAGGAGGCGCAGCCACCGACCCCGAGGCCTCTCTGGATAACGCGACACCCTCACACCAGCGCCCTGACGTCCCCTAGAGGCGTCCTCGTGCGCTCCTAAAGCGGGCGGGATCACGCCCCCCCGTGAAGGTGAGCAGGGCCGGAAGCGCGGCTGACCCGGCCAGCGGCTCAGGGACTCGGGGCAGGACGGACAAGGGGCGGGTGTAAACCGCACCCCTCGCCTCCCCCCCACGCGTCTACACAGGCGCCCCGTCTACACAGGCGCCACTACTTCACAGACCTTCCCTCCTGTCTCTCCGTGTTGGCTGAGGGACATATCAGAGGACGCGGCTGGGCAGCATCAAAATCAAAATGGCTTTGAACCTGGGAGCAGAGAGGTCAGTGTTTTAGGCGCCAGAGGCTTCTCTTGTCTCACTTATGGCCTTAGGAAAGCTGCAGAAAATGCCTGTGCAGGCCGAGCGGGGCCACCCTGCGTGGCAGAGATGTTGTGGGGCACAGAGGGAGAGGGGAGCACGTGAACTCGGGGGCTTCCCCCACATTCACACGGAGGGGGCACCTGACCCCCCCAAACAGAAGACAAGAAACTTGCCCTCAGGAGAAGCCAGGAGCCCCTCCCACCTCTAAGGGGGCGCCTGGAACCCACAGGACCCAAGAAGCCCCAGGAGCAGGGGGCTTGGGGTAGAAATGTCCCAGGACTGCGGTGACAGACCCGACGGGCACAGTCCCGCCCTGAGGCAGCAGAGGGGCCACTGTGACTGGTCTCCACACCTGTTTGGGCAGCACAGAGCCTGCCCCTCCGCCCGCACCCCTTCCTCCTTCCCGCTGGAAGGCGTCCTGAGAACAGCTATGTGCCGGGAGGAGAGTGAGGCTGTTGGGATGATTTCTCACAATGGGAGGAGAATAAAACTACCAAGTTGCTTAAACTTCTCCAGGTCGCTGTGCCTGCAGCTGAAGATAGCCCCCACTGGTGCAAGCAGAACTCTGCAGCAGGGAGGGGGACTCCATGCCAGCAAGTGTCAATGACTAGCATCAGCTCCAGTGCAGCTGTTGACCAGACCTGCAGCGTCTGGAAGAGACCGATGCCTTTCCCCATCACCCCTCCTCAATTATACAAGGTTACTATTATCACTTATTTCAGATGAGATGTTGGAATATCTGTTCAAAACAATCCTTTTCACATGCACCCCATTTCAACTGCAGACAGGGCTTCTGAGAGCACAGAGGATGCTGCTCCTGGGAGCATACCCAGCAGGTCAAGGTGTGGGGAAGACAGGGGTGGGTGGAGGGAGAATCAGAGTGGGTTCTAGGACAGGTGAGGCCTCTCTCCCAGGGGCTGGGGGCACAACCTCCATCATTATTGAGATGAGGCCTCACATTAACAGACGTTTGCTCAGAGGCCTCCCTGGTGGGGCAAGAGGTTAAGTCTCAGCGCTATGCTCTCCACAGCCACTGTAGCACGAGTTCGATCCCTAGCGAGGGAGCTGACCCACATGGCTCAGCAGACCTCTCCTGACTCACCCGCTGCTCCCCTCAGCAGTGTATTTCAGTCAATCCGCCTGTTCTGTTCCCCATTCTGTCTCTGGTGTATCCTCTCACCCCCCTGCACCTCTGGCCAGTACCCCAGCTCTTGTATGCATAAATATATAAATCTTTTAAAAAAAAATAAAAAGGAGAGAGACGTGGGCCTCCCCAGTGGTGTAGCGGGTTGAGTGCTGTGCTGTGAAGCTGTCCGCAGCCTCTGCAGCGCGGGTTCGATTCCTGGCCGGCCACGGAGAAACCTACATGGTGTGGCAGACCTCTCCTGCCTCGCCCGCTGCTCCCCTCAGTAGTGTCTTTGGTTCGTCTGCCTGTTCTGTTCCCCACTCTGTCTCTGGTGAATCCTCTCACCCTCCCGGGCCTCTAACCTGTACCCCAGTTCTTGTATAAATAAATAAAAAATCTTAAAAAAAAAAGAGAGAGACTTTTGCTCTCCTTATATCTGATCCCAGGTGACCCCCAGGACATCAGCCCCCTTACTTACTGATGGTGGTGAACACGCTGGTGAAGCAGAAGTAGTCCACGGCATTGAGCGAAAGAAGGTGATAGAGGAACTGCTCCCTTTCTTCCTCACAACGAAGAAAAGCATAGCGCTTGTAGAGCTTCCTGGGGCGGGTGGGGGGGCGTGGTAGAAGGCAAGCAGACAACCTGGTCATGGTCTTAAGAAATCTTTGATGGTTTGACAGACACAATGGATTCATGGGTCTGTTTGCTTTTCCTTTAAAGGCTAGCTAGGTTTTTAAAAAGTGTTCTTGACTTTTATATGTCCACTCTTGTGAATTGTCTCTTCTCTCCAGGTTGAAGTCTCTGCCCAGTTAGAGGTTTTTCTTTTCGGTGGGGAAGACCCTGTACAATTGTCCACTCACATTTATGTACAAGTAAAACAACATGCTGGTATACCCATAAATTAGAATACTGTGTCATCACTGAAGATACAGTTTTGGAAGTGTTTCAACAATAGCAGAACTGCTAGAAATAAGAAGCAAGTGTGTATTAGGCAGCTGTAGCCTATTTCCCAAGTATTTTACAGTCACTCATGTATTTAACCCTCGTGACTCGTCTGTGAGCTAAATCTAGTCGTTCCTCTGGTCATCGGGTTTAGTACTCATCTAAGTAGTGATGCCAGGGTGGACTGGGATGCAGGCGTTCAGACTCCAGAGCCTAAATCCTGCGATGCAGTGACATGTCTATGATATAAAGGTAAGCCTCGAAAAGAAGAACATCGAAATGCAAATATACTACAATATTAACTAAGAGAACAGCACTAAGGAAAATGCAGAAGAAAACATGTGAACTGCTTAACGTCCACCTCCACACAGTGGGATTCTAAATGATGACTGTTCACTTCATACTTTGGCCACAAACGACAGATAATGGGGACTGGGGGGTAGCGGGTTTCGAAAGAACAAGGTCAGGGTCACCGCAGGTGTCCTTCACACAGCATTCTGCATCAAACCTGTCCCTTGGATACTAGGGGTCAGCCTGCCCAGCTGCAGGGGGTGAGTGACCCCAGGACACACCACAACTGGTCACCTCGAGGGGCTCTAATGGACCATGGGGGTAGGTCTTGGAGGAATTCTCTGCAGCCTTTGGCTCCGGAAAGCTCAAGGTCCTCAGTCTTTAGATTCACTGTAATGAACCTCTGGCTTAGGCATCTCCTCCAAGAGAGTTTCTTGGTAAAGGGCAGCTATCAAGACGTCTACCACTACCACAGAGGTCCGTGCAGAGGATGAGGGTGCAGGTGCCAGTGAGTGCTGCAAGGAGCGGCAGCCCAGCTCCCTCTAGCACATGGGGCTAACACGGAAGCACCTGCAGGTGGAGCTTACTTGGTGAGCAGCTGGTTGGAGAGCAACTGCTTGAGGTGCTGGGACAAGAGCTTCTTTTCCAGAGATAGGCGTATCCAGGCCCGTGCGCGCCCCACGTCAGTCTTGATCTCGCTCATGTTCTGGATGTGCCTAAAGAAGAGCAGCAGCACACAGAGCTCAAGGACCCGGCCAGCCTCTGACTGGAAGAGCAGCGGGGTCAGGGCATGGTGCACCGGAAGTCCTACACGCAGAGGAGGTTTATGTGACTAATTTCAATGCGTCCCCCTGAGTCTGGACACAACCCCAAAGACCCTGCAGCCTCACAGAGAGGTGACCTTCCCCCAGCTAATCCACTGTTTGCTAGAAACAGCAGCTCTGTTCCCTTCTGTCTGTGAACTGTTCACTTTGCACAGCAACAGGGAGCTCCTATTGGATGGACGTGACCCTGTGTCTAGATGTTGCCGGTTCACAGTTCATCATGAGAAGCCAGTCAGATCTTTAAGGTCTGTTCAGCTGCACTTTACTCATGCAAAATATTGTTCTAGAGGTGCCGCCCACTTTCTGTTTTCTGCCAAGCAGTGGGCCCACCACCTACCTGCTTGGGGCTTCTCCCCCCCAATGCCTGGAATCAGCTCTGGGCACCACATGCCCAAGACCTGGGCTCCCATCAGGACATGGGCCTGATATAAACTAAGTACTAGAATCTGGGAAGCAGTGCCTGGAAGACCCAGTGAGCATCTGCTGGACACTTAAACTGAGGCATCCTGTAGGAGCCGGTGACAAGACCTTCTCTATCCACCCAGCTCCAGGAGGGATCATGGTTACCGCCTATAAATCTCCCCTGGTGGTAAAGCGGGTTCGAAAGGTTTTCTGTCCTTAAACTAAATGATTTCCAAGACTGGTAGCACCTAGATGTGAATCCACATTTCCTGAGTCCAACAATGGTGTTAATTCACTGTATTGCCAATGAAACCCAACAATATGTAAGAGAGAAATTACGACGGCTTGTTTTAGTTTCAGCTTACATTCGGTACAGTCATAGCAATTTGGTGCAGTCAAAATAGTCCTCTCTGGGGTGAGCATAACCATCTCGAATACTTAATTTCCAGTGTAGTATAAAGCCAGTGCTCACAGAACAGCCACCGTACACTTAGAACCAAGGTAAGTGACCAGCCAATCCATCCTCAGTGGAGTATCCACAGCTCTATGTGTAAACAGACTGTGGCTGGGATTTACTCAGACACCTTGCGGGTCACTTGTGTGCCTTTTCAGAGTCCCCGCACCTGGGGACGTACTCACAGTCCCCACAATCACAGCTTGATTGCCTGCACCCCTTGTCATCAATTGCATGTCATCATTGGGAATAAATGCCCCCAGAATGGCTAGCTGGTGGGTATGGACATGACCAGGAAGGGAGACGAGAAGTGGCACTGCAGTGACATGTGACAAAACTTCACTTTTATATGTAACCAGAGCAGTTATTCACTGGCCCAGCCTTGCTCTTTAGAACAACAAACTCACTCTGCAGCTGACAGTTTAGTGATATGGGTCATCAATGGAGCCTAGGATGGCCCATATGCATGTCTGTCTGGGGCTGCTGCCTGCTGCCACGTGCCGTAGCCAGGACTCGCGACAACCCTGGCACTCAGGTCCCTAAGCTGCCATGTTCTGGCCTCAGAGATGAACTTGGGAAGACACGAGGCCCTGGCAGGGGCGTGCGCCAAGCTGCAGGGTGACTCGCAGACACACCACCTCCTCGTTGGCGGCCAGCATTGTCCTTAGTTGTCCAGAGTGAAAGAAATCTCGGCTGAAATTGTACTAGGTGTTTTTCTTTAAGGCAAACCATCCACATGAACCACCAGGTAGGCACTAGGGACTAGAATGAAGCACTTGCCAAGGACAAGGAAACAGAGAGATGAGTCTGTCCACTGAGACTTCAATGCCAAAGTAAACATACTGTGGACTAGAACACCTCAGAAGTTCTCTGGACAGCAGAAAGGACACAGTGAAGGAGAGACAAGCAAGGAGAGGGTGTCCCCAAGATGACTTGGGCCCCTGAGAAAGAGCTCCAGCTTGGGGACAACAGGTACCTGCCTGATTTCTGTCTATTTTCCAGACAGACAACTCCTACATCAGTGACAGAGCACCCCATCATTTGGCACAGGAACAATGAATGATTTCACTGGTTCCTGGGATCCTGCCTTTACTGGTCATAGACCATTAGGTCAGAGAGGACAGCTGACCCAACCCAGCCCATTATTTTTCCATATCTCTTAGGCATTTGAGTAAGTCTCTTGAGTATCTTTGAGTCCGATTACATTTTGGTTCAGTAATGATTTGGTTTCTGAACTTAGAATGCGTACGACTCCAGCACATGGTCTATAAAACCTAGAACTAATGCTGCTATGTTGGTGATAAGAAACTGGGAAGTCACATCCATGAAGATGGCTATTGGCAAAACAAACAAACAACAAATGAGGGAAAATAACAAGTGTTAGCAAGAGTGAGAGCCAGAACCCTATGCATGGCTGATGAGAGTATAAAAGGTTACAGTCCCTGTGGAAATAGGGGTTCCTCAAAAATGAAATATAGAATTACAGCATAATCAGGAAATCCCACTTTGGGGTGTAGACACCCAAAAGAACAGAAAGTGTGGAATCAAAGTGATATTTGCAAATACATGTTCATATTAGCATTATCCACAATAGCTGAGAGGTGGAAATAACCCAAACACTGCTGATGGGCGAATGTTAAAATAGGTGGCCTGTACCTAGGATGGAATATTATTCAGCCCTGAAAAGGAAGGAAATTCCAATGCATAGTGTAGCATGGATGGACCTCAAACCTATCATGCTAAGTGAAATAAAGCAGGCACCAAGGTCATGCCTCCACTTATGGGAAGTACCTAGAGATAGAAAATGGAAAAGAGGTTACCAGAGATTGGTGGAGGTTGGGGGTGAGAATATGGAACAATTATCTAATGGAGACAGAGTTTCAAGTTGGGAGGGTGGAAAATTTTTGGAGAAGATGGTGGTGTCTGTTGCACAAAAATGTAAATGTACTTAATGTCACTGGCTGTATATATAAAAATGGTTAAAATGGTGAATTTTACACTATAGATGTTTTAAAGAGCCATAGAAAGATGTTAATGGAATAATCTAGATGGTGGGTCACTGTGAAATCTTTTGACTTTGCTCTATGTTTAAAACTTTCTCTAACAAAACCCTTAGGGAAAAATCCTGGAAGTCTTCTCTAAAGGAAGATCTTACTAAAAAGCCGTTTTATTTTTAAATTTTATTATAGAAAAACTGGGGTATAGGCCAGAGGTGTGGGAGGTGAGAGGACTCACCAGAGACAGAGTGGGGAGCAGAACAGGTGGATTGACTGAAATCCACCACTGAAGTGAATAATGGATGAGACAGGAGAAGTCTGTTGTACCATGTGGGTCAGCTCTGTGGGCGGGGATCAAACTCAGGCTGCAAACTCAGGTGATAGCCTGAAACTCAGTCTGATAGCGCTGAAACTTCAACCCCTGTACCACCAGGGAGGCTCTTCTTCTATACATTTTTAAGTCATTTGTGAAAGTACCTTAGAAATTGCCAGTTTTCTAAGGCTTCAAAATTGTAACCCACATCATTCAGTAGCAATGTGGCCAGTTAAATCATTTAAGGGTATAAGCAAAAATGTTATGTTAGCACACACGTGCACACACACATGCACACACACACTCTTACTTATACTCACAGAGCCGAAAACACGGCAAAACCTTCATTTAACAAACGTTAACTGATTGTCAATGGTGTGCCAGGCCCTGTTGATGCAGCAGTTAATAGCCTGACATTATCAGACAGGTCACGGGGCTCATCAAGCTTACAATGTAGGAAAAGCAAACTCTGTATGTGCTGTGCAGAGAATTCAAATGGGGTGTCTGCTTTACCCCAGGGGGTTAGGGATGACTTCTTGGAGGAAGTGACATTTGAACTAAGATGCAAACATAAGGAAGGCCAGTGGGGATTCCCTAAGGCAGGCCTCCGGGCAGAGCTGTCAGGTGAAGGGAATGGGAAGCAAAAGGCCCCAGGAAACAAGTTTGGCAGCTGGAGGAGCTGGAGGGTGGCAGGAAGGAAAGCGGCAAGGAGATCAGGCTGGCAGGAAATGTGGACTTCAGCCTGAGGTCACCACATGGGCTGTAGGGAGACCCAGTCACTGTTGGGCAAGCATCGACATATGGGGAAGACGATGTTATCCAAGAGGGAAATTACAGGGCTTGGACCACAGAGGTCACAGCTCACTGACCCACTATTCCATAGTGGGCAGCAGCTACCTCAGAACTGTACCTCTCAATAAGGAGCTCTCTACGCCTGCAAAACTATAGCAACTGCCTTTAAGCATTCACTTTGTACCAGGCCTGTTTTTTATTTTTTATTTATTTATTTATTTAATTTTTTAAGAAGTTGGAAATAAAGTTTTTTTTTTTTTTTTTTTAAAGAGGCATGTTTTATTTATTTATTTATTTTTTGTTTATACATGCACTGGGCACAGTCCGAAGCACAGGAGGGTGAGAGAATTCACCAGAGCCAGAGCGGGGAGCAGAGCAGGCAGAAGGACCGAAGTACACTGCTGAGGGGAGCAGCGGGCGGCAGGAGAGGTCTGCGCGCCATGTGGGACCCTCCTCCAGTGGCCGGGGAGCAGCTGGGGATCGAACCGGCGCCACGGAGGCCGCGGGCAGCTTCGCAACCCAGCGCTCAACCACTGCGCCACCGGGGAGCAGGCCTGTTTTTTAAACAAGTGTATATATAATAAACATATATGTTTTATTTTGAAATAATTTGAGGTTTTTTTGTTCCCAAATTTTATTCCAGGTAAATGAGCTTTAATCCTCTTCTTCCTGGTTAATATGGAAGTAATGTAATTTAGCAACTATGCACAACCAGCCTTGTAGATTATTCTTCTTTGCATAGTTATTGGTGAGATCTGTTAAGTACCTTCTAGAAAAGGCCCCTCTGAAGTTACTGGGATCTTGCTCTTGCTCCATTCCATGGTTACAGGCCCTACACCCAGACCCTCAGCTTTCACTCTGATTCTCTCCTGAAGAAACTGCTAGAGGGAGCTTCCTTGGTGGCCCAGAGGTTAGTCTCAGTGCAATCAAGCTATCGCCAGCTACTGCGGCCTCAGTTCAATCCCCAGCCAGGGAGCTCATCCACATGGCACAGCAGACCTCTCCTTTCTCTCCCGCCGCTCCCCACAACAGTGGATTTCAGTAGATCTGCCTGTTCTGCTCCCCACTCTGTCTCTGGGGAATCCTCTCACACACACCCCCTGCACATCTGGCCTGGACTCAAGTTCTTGTATGCATAAAAAAATACAAAAATTATTCTTAAAAAAAAAAAAAAAAAAGAAACTGATCACCTCCAGGATTCCAGCTTCCACACAGTATGTGCAGTCCAGGGGTAACTTCAGACCTGCTTCTTTTTTTCTCACAGGCGCCATGGCACAGCAGAGGGAGGGAGGGTATTGTCAAGCAGTGGACTCACAGAAATGTTGCAAGACTATGGGGGAGAGTCCCTGCATGCCAGCCCCCCCCACCCCTCCGAGGTTAAGAGCTTACACAGCCACAATGAGACATCAGCACTGGCAGTCTCCTGGGTGAACTGCATACCCAGATCCTCATTTCCCCCATCATGTCCTTTTTCTGGACCAGGACGCCCCCTGCATTTGCTTGTCCTCCCCTTATTCTCCTCCAGTCCATGATCAGTCTTTCTGTGCCTTTCATGGTCTTGAGACTTTGGAAGAGCAGCAGTCAATTATTCAGCAGAATGCCCTGCAATTGGATTTCCTTGCTGCTTCCTCAAGTCTGGACAGTGGGCATGCACGTCTGTGAGGCTCCTGCAGCAGCCAGGGGGCCTTCCGGTGCATCACATCAGGGGGTTGTGAGGCTGAGGGGTCTCCTCACTGCAGGCCTTGACCTTGGCCATGCGGGGTCTGCAGGGTTTTGCCACTGTGATTTTTTTTTTCCTTTGTAGTTAACAAATTCGTGGAGGAGACACTTTGAGACTAAGCAGATATCCTGGTTTCACCTTAAAACTTTCAACCACCAGTTTCTCTATTTCGTTCTTCCACAATTATTAGCCAGAAAGCTTTCTCTGGAAAGCGCTGTCCCAGTGGGCCCATTTATTTACGTGGGTCTCTAATTAGATCATAAGGGCCTCATGGGATCTTGATTCTGTGGACTAGGCTCCACCTCTGTGGGGCTCATCACGTGGCTCTGGTCCCTGGGCCCCCAGACTGGCTCCTTAGAGTGTAAGCCTCTCCTCTCTGAGATGCCTCAGGCTCACCCCACATGTCCCCTCCCCAGCCTGGAGCCACTCTTTTCTCCAGGAGCCCTGGTGGGTGACCCTGAGACACCATTCAGAAGTCACTGTGGGTGCCCAGTGTGCTGGCTGCTGTTGGGGTGCCACTGGTGCTCTGGATAGAGATAGAAACTACCAATCATTCTGGGACAGGGATAGCAGGTGGGGGGCTGGGAGGGAGGAGGGAGGGAGGGGCAAAACTTTTGTATCATGATTGTATTTGTGAAAACACATACACCTACACACCAGGGAAGAGTGAGTTTTACTATCTATAAATTTAAAAAGAACAAAAATAAAACAACCAGAAAGTGGGAAGGTACCCCACAAGGGACAGAGACTAACAAGTACCTGTAACTATAATACTAGTAACAAAACCACACTGAAGGGAGTCATGGGAAGAAGGAACTAATCTAAGATTCGGAAAACTGTATTTTGAATGGAGACAGAGCTAGAGCAGTGCCCTCACCGGTCCTTCCAGGGAGTGGCTAGCAGTTCTGAAAGGACTGTGCAGTGTGTGCGTGCAGGTCACACAAAGACTGGGGAAGAAAAGAGTAAGTGGGTCCCCCTGGTGGCGCAGGGGTAAAGTCTCAGTACTATCACTCCCTAAGGCCTGAGTTCTATCCCCGATCCCTGGCCAGGGAGCTGACCCACACAGGATGCAGCAGACTTCTGTCTTTTGGCTGCTCCCCTTAGCAGTGGATTTCAGTACATCTGCCTGTTCTGCTCCCCATTCTGTCTCTGGTGGATCCTCTGGCCTGTACCCCAGTTTTTGTATGCATAAATAAATAAATCTTAATAAAAAGATTTTTTAATAAAAATCTTTATTTTTTATAAAAATAATTTTTTAAAAAGATTTATTTATACAAGAACTGGGTTACAGGCCAGATACGCGGGAGGGTGGGAGGATCCACCAGAGACAGAGCGGAGAGCAGAACAGGCAGATTGACAAAATACACTGCTGAGGGGAATAGCGGGGGAGGCAGGAGAGGTCTGCTCGCCATGTGGGACCCTCGCTGGTCGGCCGGGATCGAACCCGTGCTGCAGAGGCTGTGGACAGCTTCACAGCGCTGCGCTTATTAACCGCCTGCGCCACCAAGGGAGGCCCGAAAAAAAAAATCTTTTTTTTTAAGATTTATTTGTTTATGCATATAAGAGCTGGGGTGCAGGCTGGAGATGCGGTGAGTGAGAGGATTCATGAGAGACAGAGTGGGGAGCAGAACAGGCAGATGTATTGAAATCCACTGCAGAGGAGAGCAGCGGTCGAGGCAAGAGAGGTCTGCTGCGCCATGTGGGTCAGCTCCCTGGCTGGGGACTGGACTCGGGCTGCAGTGGCTGAGGATAGCCCATACTGCTGCATTTAACCCTTAGCGCTACCAGAGAGACCCATAAATAAAAATAAATCTTTAAAAAAAAGGAAAGAGGAGTAAGGGGAAGAGTAGAGTGATGTCTGTGATATTGAACTGGAATCAGATATCATTATGAATTACGCATAGTTAAGAAAATGAATTGTGTGTATAAAAATATATATATACACGTATAAATAAATAAAGCTAGAAGAATTGAGCCAGGGGTGTGTGTGCACAGACACAGTTATATCCAGTCCTGTTTTGGGTGCTTGGCCTTTCTCACCTCCCTGCATTCTTATGCCAACCATCTGTGAGTCATGATCACCCCCACGCTAGGGATGAGAGAGCTGGGGCAGGAGGGCTGCCCTGGGCCATGGAGCTGGCGAGTGGCTGGCAGAGCTGGTCTCCACCAGCAGCTGAGCCCTCAGACAGCAATGGACCCCGTCCCCTAAACCCACAGCAGGGCGAGATAAAATAAGCAGGAAACTGCAGAAGCAGGGAGGCCTTATGTGATGTGAAAATCTCCCAGTTTGGTCACAGAGTGGGGAGCACCACCAACTGTCACCCCAGAGCAGCCTGTGGGAGGGGACCAAGGGCAGGAGGGTTTGTGTTTCCCCTCAGAGACACAGCTCCTCCTCTCACGCTGAATAGCGGGGAGTCCTGAGCTGTGAGGACAACTGCACATCACCCCCCAGGAATTACAGTGTTTATGGAGCAAATATCTAAAATATTCAGAGGGAAACCCAGCATTTACAGAGCTCTTACTCAGGAGTCAGGTACTCCCTGAAAACATAGTGCTGGACTAGCTCCCTGAATGCCTACGACAGCCCTATGACAGAACAGACAGCTGTTTCTATCTCTGAGAGACAGGGAAACCGAGGCACAGAGGAGTTGGACAATGACCAAAGGACACACTCTAGCAGGGCCAAAGCCAGAGGTAGCCCCGCTGCGCTGTGCTGTGGTCCCTGCCTGGGAAGCTTTTCAGCTGGAGGTTCTGACAAATCGAACAAACAGCGGCAACTCATATTAGCAAGGCACACAATAAAAGTTCTAACATTTATTTTAAACCCACACATCTTAAGAGTGTACACAGAATGCTAAAAAGCCTCTACCTTCATCCATGAATCTGTTTACACGCTTTTTCTAAAAATTTGAAAGCCCAGTGAGTGCAAGTAATTATTTCTCAGATTTGCATTTATTTCAGACTAAATCTACCTGATGGCAACCTTCCTTCCAACAGACCTGAGAACGCCTTGGTCTGTACCCGCAGGCAATATTGGGAGCCTTTACAAAACTGCACAAAAGAAATTGTAAAATAGTTTAGGGAGGCTTTAAAACTCTTCTCAGTTGCATTTTCCCTTTGGACATCATGTTGGGGAAAACCAGTATTGTATACAAGCAAAATAAATAAGACTATAAAGAATGCTCTCTCCAGAATACCCAAGCAAAAAGAAAGAAAAATAGACACAGTCATGTTAAGTGAATGTCACTAATGTCTCTGAGACCATGGGGCGGGCTGTGACTACCTCATGTCCTGGATGAGAGAGACCCTCAGCGTTGGCAACACGGCTCCGGAGTCAGATTTCCTTCTTTCTGGTCCAAGGGCCACTGAGTACAAAAAAAAAGTCAACAAAGTATTAGAAAAATAACAGTGAGAACCTAAACTCTGAGTCACATTCCGTATGTAGATACTTTAGGGATGACTTTGAGAAGAACAAAATTTAAAGGCAATAGAAAAGTTCAAATTCTTTCCCCAGGAATGTTGCTATTTTGTGAATGCTGTGACCCCACTATTTTCTTTCTAGTTCATCCAGGGCTACATTTGGAAATTTAAAAAGAATCAGAAAAGTCCACTTAGCAAATAAGGAGATATCTGCAAATTCTGGCCAGAAGCGCCAGTTTCCAAAGTTCCTCACTCTAACAGCTCACGATAATTACATGAACACAGTGTCTGTAAGTTAAGCTACCAAAGACATGAGCTGACTCTGGGCGCATGATTTCCAACACACAATTCCCCTAAACTCTGCGAGTGTTCAGGAAGGAGACTCTAAGAGCCTGGGTTCTGCAGCCTGACAGGTTTCTATGTCAAGTTCAGAATCCAAACTACAGATTGCAGATCTTGCCAAGTGGGTAATCTCAGCCCACTCGTGGGATAGAGGGGGATGAAGCCTGAGAGCTGCTGTGCAGGAGGGAAGGGGAGGGGTTCCCTCACGGGGCGACACCATAGATTCTTGGCCAATATGTTGTCGCGGTCAAGGAGGCTCCTGGGGTTTTGAGCCCCTTGTCCCCACTTTCCCATTTGTAAGTGAAAACTAAGCTGCAGCATCACATTCAACAAACATACCCATACAGATCAGAATTAGGATGTGGGGTTTTGCTGGCTATTTAGGGCCTCCCTTCTTGGGGGACCAGCACAGGACTCCCGAGCACATGTGCAACTGAAGCTGCTGAGGAAGACACACTCTGGGGATCTGGACTCGCCTGGGCGAGGCTCTGACTGCCCTCAGCAGGGGAATGAGACCTGCCAGGCCAGCCTCAGGGCAGGATCTGGGAGGCATCGACTATGACACTGTACGGCTGTCCGGCCCTGGTGGGACCAACTCAGTGGGGGAGGCTGGCAGGTCCACACGGAGTGGAGGTAGCTGAGAGGTCTCTGCTGTCTTCTCAGTATTGTCCTGAACCCCAGACTGCTTTAAAAAGTTAAATTTATTCAAACAAAACAGAGACAGTACACTATGCTGTGGTTTTCCTTCTAAGACGGACCCTTCCTGTTATTGCTTCTGAGGAAGGATGGTCTCATCTCCTCTGGGATGGGGGAGAGAGTGCCCCTGTGGAGACAAGGCTCTTGGGTCTTTCCTCGGCCTGGAAATGCAGGCTGTTTACTACCATTAATAAGGAAGCTTAACAGTTGGCAAACAAAAAAGTATTTTGGGGGGAAACACCCAGTTTTGAAAGTAGAAAAGTCAATGAACTGCTAGTTTCTCTATAATTAGAGCACATTCTCAATTATGCAAGATTTTATTTTCAAGCTAATGTTTTTATATATATTTCACACTGTCATATTTTTAAGCCCTAATTTCCTGGGCTGAATCATCAGAGGTGTTAGAGCAGTATTTATAAAATCCACCCCTCCCAACAGACAATACGTTTGATTTCAAAAGCCACATTGTTTATGTCAATCCTGCTTAGGATTGGGAAGACACTTAATCATGTGTGGGCTGACGCCACCAGCCGATTGGCACAAGCTGGTGAGGGTGAGGTCTGAGACCTGTGTTTCTGGGGGGGATGCGGGAGTTGGGGGTCGGGAGGGGGTGCACGTTGGCAGCTGGGGTCTGGTCTCCAGCAGGGCAACCTGACACTGACCATGACCCTGCTGCTGTCCCCCAGCACCCCCCAGCATGTGCCTCACTCAGCTACTTGTACAGCTTTGCATGCACCGAGCTTGGTTCCCACACCCAAGCCACCAAGGGCTGCTTCTTCCTAGGAACTAACTGCTCCCAGTGAAGGGAAGCCACCTGGTCATGGTTTCACGGTCTGAGCAGACACATGTTCTGTGATCATAGGTGAGATCATCGGTGGTTACGGGACACACGCCGTAACCATTTTTCAGTGGAAAGGGGCAGAGGAGCTAGACATAGAAAACGCTTTTAAACTTGAACTGAAACTTTATCAATGCAGCCACACCTTGATACAGCAGAACCTTGACACTGTTCACAGGGGCTCCAGGCCATGGCTATCAAATTCACGTTCCTGGCTGCTTGGTTAAAGGCACATAAACTGGTGAGTGCCACATTGGGACAGGGTGTCCCCCAGGGGCAGTGGGGGAGGTGCAACCAGGCTACTCCATGTTAGCAACACATTATTTCTGAAATAGGTAAGAAATATTTATTCTTATGTGGGTTGGCTTAGGAGTTACAAAGATTTTTTCTTACATTTCTGAATTTCCAAAATAAGCTGAAATTTTAGAAAAGGTTCCCCAAAGGCCAATTCAAGATAAAACATTTCATCTCCACTAGCTTTCCACGGTTACTTCTCTGTGAAACAGATGATTAAAACTGCACAGAAGGTAGTGTATGAAGGAAGCCTACCCTGACGTCACGCTAATCAGCTAAAGAGTTTTGACATCTGGACACGTGATGCCTGTGAGAAGCGGGAGGAGAAATGTGACTCTTGGAGGTTTTTCGAACATGCGTGCCTGATATCGTACTCAAAGATTACCAGCGATGGCTAGAGCTTCTCCTGAAGGAAAATATCAGTATGTGCCCTGCCCAAATGCCTAGGTCAATGAGGCACTCCAGTGACCCTTCATCGTTCACTGAGGCTGGTGGGGTGTCTCTTGGGAGATGCTGCCATGGGGTTCAGCTAGGGTTACTCTCCCCACCTCTCCAGAGAGCACTTGGATGCTCAGGAAGCCCAAAGGAAGCGGCAGGTCTCACAGCCTGTAAGTGAGGCTGCTCCCTCCCTCTGCTCTGCCACTCGCAAGCTGAGAGAGAGAGATCCAGCCAGAAAGTGGACTGTGCAGGGCCTAACTGCAGACAGTCGGCCAGCAAGCTCACCTGGGGATTCGGCAAGGTGTTCCTGCTTCTCTTCTCTGTCCTGGAATTGAATTAAGTGGGACCACAAAGCTGACTTCCCCTGAAAATACAAGAAACAGGATATTGGTCATTTTATAAGGAAAAATAGACCAAAAATTTTGCTCAGCCAAACCAATCGCATTGAGATGACCACAGGCAAGTCCGGAGACCCAGGCGCAAGCTGGTCGGTGACAGTGAGTGGGGAAGGGCAGCCCAGCAATGGGTAGGAGGTCTGGAGCTCCCCGACTTGAGAGGGTGACTGCAGATAAGAGGCTCCTACAGCACGTAGTGTGTCTGCATGGACTGAACTCACAGACGGAAGAGAGAGTGGCCGAAGGAGACAGACAGCAGGGGAGGAACAAAGAAACACAGCAGAAAAAATCAGAGGGGAGACCCCAGGAACAAAAGCAAAGAAAGCCTTGGGACATGCTACCCTGAATGACAGATGACTGGATGAGGCACTTGGTTAATCTCCAGGGGCAGCGCCAGCCTCTGATCCTTTCCTGGCCAAGAGAGCCCCGCCAGCCCCTCCCAACCACAGGTGACACTTCTCCTGCCAGAATAAAGTACCCATGGCACATTTCCATTCTTCCCTTTCAATTTTGTTTCTTTTTCTTCTTCTCAGTTCTCAACCTTGGGACAGGGCCCCCTGGACCCACCTGCTTGACCTGCAGGCCGTGGCTCCATATCCTTTCCAGCAGGTCACAGAGGCTGGCAATCAAGGTGTTCTCCTCCAGGCCGGTGATGTTGGCCTCCCCGTGACCCAGCTCCACAGCCTCGTGGCCCATCTTCTCCACCAGCATGCGCTTGGTCTGGAACACGAAGTGTGGCCACAGCGTTACCCTGTGGGGAAGCCCACAGTCCCCCAGGCCAACCGGATAGGAACTGGGTTTCCCTCCTGCTACATCTAACGGCGGCCTGGCCATAGCCTGGGGAGGATTTCTTAGCCTCTGGGTGCCTACCTGGAGCACACTGTCTTTGCTTTCCTGTTTAGTCAGAGAAACCGGGCCATTCAAGAGGGACCAAGAGGTTCCTTGAAAGCATCCCCAGGGATGGGTGACTATGTTCAGAGCCTGTGCCGTCAGAGCCTGGGCCCCCACCCAGCCCCCCTCCAGCAGACTCCAGGTGGCTGTGCTGTTTGATGGCAGCACCACACTGGGCAGCTCTGGGCTGTCTCAGAACTCTCAGGGGAGAGTGAAAGAGAGCCCTTTGCCATCATCCTTTCCCCTGCTCCCCACGCGTGGGCCTGGGGAGATGGGAAAGAGAAGTTAACGTGGAGCAGCCTGAGGCACTTTAATCAAACATAAAACATAAGAAAAAGAGTCTGGTTTTGTGGGGCGGAGCACAGCTGCAGAGCACACAGGGAAGATGTGCAGGACGTGGCTGCCACAGGGCGGCCCAGGCTTCTGCATTTTGTCCCTTGGTACCGTGATCTCCAATCAACACAGATGTCCGAGGGCCAAGTGCATGACACACACAGATCCCTGGCATGGCCAAGTCTCCTCCTCCTGACCACCCTTCACTCGTGCACAGGGGAGGGGCCCGCACACGTAGACACACACTCCCCCAACACAGACTCTGGGTGGCTTCATGCCCATCCATGTCAATGAGGAAGACAGTCAGGGCGGGCAAGGTGAGGAGACCCATGCAGGCCCCCCACGAGTCCATGGGCAGTGGAGATGGGGCTTGTGGCCTTGGCCACAAGGGGCACGGGTCTGTGCCCGGCTTTCCTTGTCCCCCCTCAATGTGGAGAGGCACGTACCTTCATCCTGCATTCTTTCAATAAGCCTTCGACAAACTTGGAGTTGGTCTGTGCGATCACTGCGGGAGAGAGGTCTGACAGTTTGGGTTGCCTCAGGTTTTTTCCTAAGCTTCGTGCTTCTTGCATGTATTTCTAAAAATCAAAGAGTATTTTTAATGCACAAACAGCAGATTTTCTGTGTACCCACTTAACCTCAAACGGCAAGTGCAGGAGCCTTGCAGTGCAGCAAAGGGCACACGAGTGTCGGCGTGTCTGCAGCGAAGGGCGAAGCCTTGGGCCCTCCACGGTGACCCACCCCGGAGAAGCTGTCAGGTGAAAGCTCACGCAGAACATGGTGGAATTTCTGGTTTAGTCTTGTTACTGGGCAAATCTGAGGCTGATATTAGTCAGAGTCAGTTGGGATGAGGAAAAGTGGGGGGCTGGACTTCAAGCCCAAGGCTGTGTGGGGCCCGGCGGCTCTCATGCCAGCGTATCTGCTCCTGTCCTGCTGGCCTCCCCAGCTCACACCTTGAATCTAATCATGCAGTGAACCTTGAGCGCTGGGGGCCTGCTGCTCGACCTCCGGCCCATCTGCTCATTGGTCAAATGGGCAAGGCCTCATGACATAGGCGGCAGTGACTCAAAGGAGCCCCAGGGGCCAGGGGGGTTGATGGGGGGCCTGGTTTCTGAGACAGGCAGCTGTGGTCCTCCCCTCTGTTCCACAGCAAAGGACGTTCAAACAGCCTAGAACTTTGGAGTGAATAGTCCACTCACTATTTGTGGCCAGTGGCCAGCAGGGGAAGGATGCGGCGGCTCTGGGTCCCTGCCTCCTGTAAGGCACCTGCAGGTTCTGCCCGCTTTCATCAGGACCACAGGGCTGGATTGCTAAGTCCAAGGGCCTTAGGACCATGGTCAAAGAACAACTGCTCCAAGCTGCGCAGTGAAAGTAGGCATTTGTGTGGGGGCAGAGAGATGGCGTGGGCAGGCACACCAGCACAGCAGCCACATGGGAGACTGAGGGGTACTCAGGGGAGGACCTGGTATTATAAGGGAAGGCATATGAAACCCTTTGCTTTCTTTAAATAAAAGGGAATTTGTACATTTAAGATATTTCGCCTTCAAAAAATAATCTGCAAAACCTGGTACAAATTAAAAAAAAAAACACAACTACTACTTAGGGCTTCAACTGATCAGTTCACTCGCCACTTTCCAACCACCCAGTGAAAGACAGCATCAATAAAATGTTTCCTTTAGGGCATCTCTGTAAATGAGATGAACCTGCTCACACTTTGTTCCTATAACACTCGTGTGCCCAAATTAAATGGACACACTCACTTTGAGTCTTTGTGCTTTGAGTCTTTTTTAGAGGGACAAAGAAGGGAGGAAGACAGAATGAGAGACAACTCTCACCACTGGGAAATCAAAGGGAACAGGTCAACCAAACACCCTGAAGGTCAGTGTCCAAATACATAAAAGCAGTAAGTGAAAACCACTTCAGAAAAAAAATCAACCTGCTAGATAGATTCTACGCGGAGTTACGACATCCATGCACATGTAATTTTAAGTTGTGCTGATAGAGCTTGGCATACTACAAATTGGAGAAAAAAGGTCAGTAAAAACCAGTGCTGACTATGATATGAAAAGGGGTCTGTCTGCCCTGAGTGTCCACTCTCATCTTTCAGGCTGGGCAAACCCCAGAGCCAAAAGATTCCATCCCAGGGAAGCTCAGCGCCCCTTCTAGACACTGAGCTAGAGAGGAGAGGACCATACAAGTAAATCTGTGCCCCTATTTCACAGTGGAAAAGCAGGTGACCAAGGGTCCTGCGTGAGGGCTGCTGCAGTCAACCTGGCTAGCTGGGTGCATGGGAAAGGCAGGCCTAGAAGTCAGCTCCTGAGCTGGGAGCTGGCTCTGCCTTTGTATGTCCATCTCGCTATTTGTGGCCAGTGGGCAGCAGGGGCAGGATGCGGTGGCTCTGGGTCCTTGCCTCCTGTAAGGCACCTGCAGGTTCTGCCCGCTTTCATCAGGACCATGTGGCTGGATTGCTAAGTCTAAGGGCCTTTCGACCATGGTCAAAGAACAACTCTCTAAGCTGCATAGTGAAAGTGGGCGAGTCTCTTGGACTTCAGTTAAATGATGTCCAGTTGGACAAGGTGACCTCAAAGCCTCCTCTCAACACTAAGATTCCACTGTGACCTGATTTTCTGACCGCATCAGATACAGACCTGGAAAGGTAAATTAAAACGCTGTGGGGATGAAACCTCGCCAAAGTAAAGCTCCTTGACAAGGAATCACTGCTGCATGCCTGCAAAATGCTTACATAAAAAGGATTTTGGAATGTTAACATAGTCCCCTTTGGAAGAAAAACATTTTGCTACATCGGCCCTTGCCACCCCAAAAGAAACACCACCATTGGAAAGGTCAGTTCTCCCTGCCGCTAGCAAGGAGGGGCTCTTGGCAGCGCATGCTGCCAGGAGGGGCTGCAATGCCAGCGCAGGGAGAGCAGCAGGGAGAAGGCCAGTGCTGCTAGGAGGGGTGAGCTCACACAGGTTGGGGGCAGTGAGAGGGACTCCAGCAAGCTCGGCTGCTCCTCACCACACTCAGGCAGAGAACATACCAGGCAGCGCTCAGAGAAGGATTTTTTTGGAGGCCGTGCAGGAGGAGGTGGGCCCTGGTCCCACTCCCAGAAAACCATGGAGTTCCGACAGACCAAGGGGTCCCCGGAAGACTAAGGACCCGGACGCCGGTGGCAGAGAGGCAAGAGAGAGGAGACGGGGAGAGAGAGAGAAGCAGAACAAACATGCAGGTAATAAAGTCACAGCAAAAGGGGGTAGTTGGGGGGAGAAACTAGACAGGAGCACGAAGAGGAGCACGCAGGGGCCGTGGTTCTTGGGAGGCGCTCAAGCCCTAGATGCACAGACATGCTGACCAACAGCAGCCCTGCTGGAAGGAGGCCTTCTGCTTTATTCCTACACATTCGAGCTTAGAAAACAGTTCAAGGGTTTCTGGTTGCATTTTCCTGTGACCACGTGGAACAATGAATGCTGACTTCCAGTTCTTCAAATGTTCACTGTGTCTTTTTACATGTAAGTAGCACAAATAAAGCGCCAGGATCTTAATTTGAAAACACTTTAAGAAAATGGTGTTGGCAAATTGAGGGCAAAGCACAGGCAGAAGCTCCCTAAGTTGACGTTTTGCTGATACCCGGACAAGCCTGTGCTTCCTGTTAGTACCCCAGGGGAGACATGCAGCCCACAGGTCATCTGCCTTCACCTGACGTGTAGTAGCGCCTCCTTTTAGGTGTATTAAAATGACAAAAATGGAAAAAAAGGGTCACTACGGTGGTGAAGGGGTTAAGTCTCAGCGCTATCGCCAGCCTCTGGGGCCTGAGTTCAATCCCCAGCCAGGGAGATGACCCACATAGGGCGCAGCGGACCTCTCCTGTCTCGCCCACTGCTTCCCTCAGCAGTGCATTTTGGTCAAGCTGCCTGTTCTGCTCCCCACTCTGTCTCTGGGGAATCCTCTTATCCCTTGCACCTCTGGCCTACACCCCAGTTCTTGTATGCATAAATAAATAAAAATAAATCTTTTAAAAAAAAAGATGTTTAAAAAAAATGGAAAATGACAGGTGTTTTCTGCTATGAGTAAAAAGAATTATTTAAAAATAGAAGAGAGGGCCTCCCCGGTGGCGCAGCGGTTGAACGCTGGGTTGCGAAGCTGCCCGCGGCCTCTGCGGCGCCGGTTCGATCCCCGGCTGCTCCCCGGCTGCTCCCCGGCTGCTCCCCAGCCACTGGAGGAGGGTCCCACAAGGCGCGCAGACCTCTCCTGCCGCCCGCTGCTCCCCTCAGCAGTGTACTTCGGTCCTTCTGCCTGCTCTGCTCCCCGCTCTGGCTCTGGTGAATTCTCTCACCCTCCCGTGCTTCTGACTGTACCCAGTGCATGTATAAAACAAAAACAAACAAACAAATAAATAAAATAAAAAAAATATGCCTCTATTAAAAAAAATAAATAAAAATAGAAGAGAGCCATTTCAAAAATGGGTACCTTCGCCCCCCTCCCTACCCCAGCCTCTGGCCCCCCACCCCCACCTCTGCCCCCCATGTACCTCTCGGAGGTCGTTATCCAGTCCCACATGCTCGGGGTGCTGGCGGAGTCGGTCCTTCCTGCGCTGAGTGGTGGCGCTGCGGCTGACCCAGCGGCTGAAAGACAGCCATGCCCGGGCCCAGGTGAACACCCGCCCCCATCGTGAAGCCCCATTTCTCTTTACGTGGGAAAGCGGGAAGGCTCAAAAGACCCACAGCGCTTATTTTTCAACGGATTCCACAGGGTTGGCCCACGGAGCAGCACACGAGCCCCTGGGGCTCAGTGTGTTCATAAAGACGGGCACTATCAAGGCTTTTTAAAAATTGAAGTTCAAAAAAGCAGTGTCTCCCTTGTAGGCATCTCCCCCTTTCTGTCCTCCCACCGACCAGCACCCTGCCCTGGTGAACCCCTTCCGCTCCCCTGTGCAGCCATCCCCGACAGCAACCGGTTTCCCTCCGGTGCCCTCTCTATCACTCACCCCCAGCCCCACCAAGACCTTCTTTCACTTAACCCAGGGAAAGAGGCCACGCCCTCCCCACTCCTCCTCCCTAGACTTCAATGCCGCGCACACAGGGAGCTCATCTTTCCTCTAACCCCAGTGGGTAAGACATACTGGCCACCGCACCCTGAACGGTGCTCTGGCCCCTCCCAGCTGCGGCACTGACCCCTCTTCCACTGTCCCCGTTCTCTCCACTCACAAGCCTGCTGGTGTCTCCACGATGACCTGAGGTCTCCTTCTCATTGCTCTCTGTAAGCTGCTTTCACAGTTTAGATGTGAATGGGACCCTACCTTTGGGTCCCCTCTGGAACCTTCAGTTCATCCCTAATCAGCCCTGAAAATGCTCTTCTTGAAGCCACTGGTCCATGTGGATGACATGACTAAGCTGGGCCCCAACCCAACCTCGGGAAGTCCCTCTAAGAAGAGGAGCATCTGGTGGGAGCACAGGGGGATGGGCCTGGGGCTGTGGTGGAGGATGATGGGCTTTGGCAGAGGGTGTGGGGTGACAACATACATCCACAGGGGCATGAACTTGTACCCAAATGTCACCCACAATGTTGCAGACCAACAAAAACTTCAATAAACATTATTTAAAAAAATAAGAAGGGCCTCCCTGGCGGTACAAGGGGTTAAGCAACACACTATGAAGCAATCCACAGCCTCTGCAGCACAAGTTTGATCCCCGGCCAGCCAGGGAGCAAACCACATGGCGAGGCAGACCTTTCCTGACTCGCCCGCTGCTCCCCTCAGCAGTGTATTTCAGTCAGTCTGCCTGTTCTGTTCCCCACTCTGTCTCTGGTGAATCCTCTCACTTCCCGCACCTCTGGCCTATACCCCAGCTCTTATGCATAAATAAATAAATCTTTAAAAAAATAAAAAAATAAGAAGAGAGAAATATGGACACGGACACAGAAGGCTGGAAGCCCAGTGAACATGGAGGCAGAGGCTGGAATCTGCTGCCACAATCGCTGGGGCCACCAGAAACTCAACGGGGCAGGAAAGAACCTCCCCAGAGGCCTCAGAGGGAGCACAGCCCCACCCATCCCTTGATTTTTGATTTCCAGCTTCTAGCACTTTGAAAAAATAAAGTTATGTTCTTTTAAGTGCCCGAGTTCAGAGGTTTTTTTTTTGTAATAGCAGAAGAATAGAGATGATGGAAGCATGACTTTCCAATTCCATTAGCCTGCATTCGTGTAACTATCCCCAAGTACAGATGACTTGAGAAAGAAAAAAAGTCTTTGTTCTTTGGATCATTTTATGTGTTGGGATTATAGGTGAAATATTCAGAAAGTATCAATCCACATTTCAAATGGGGTAATGTGCTCTTATAAAAAGCAGCCTGACTGCTAAGGTGCTAGCGGCCTGCATGGCCCCACCCCCATCAGAGCTGCATGGCTCCAGGCTTCATTCATTCTTCCTCCCACTATTTGGGGGATGGACACACTTACTTGTTGTTAGTTGGTCCTGTTGCCAAGACATCAGACTGCAACTTTGGAAAGAAGCCTTGCTCGTATTTGCCTTGACCAATTTTCATGTCCAGCAGATGTGGGTGGATCGCAGTGTGATCCATTTTCATCAGTCGCTGCTCAATTGACTGGGCTATAAATTAAATTTATGACAAATTACAGACATCCCGTTGGCTAAATCTTGCAAAATAATGCTCTCCCCACCCATGCACTTATGAGGAATTCAGTCTTTTTTTTTTTTTTTTTAAGATTTATTTATTTATACAAGCACTAGGTACAGTCAGAAGCATGGGAGGGTGAGAGATTCACCAGAGCCAGAGTGGGGAATAGAACAGGCAGACTGACGCTACACTGCTGAGGGGAGCAGCGGGCAGCAGGAGAGGTCTGCACACCAGACCCTCCTGGCAGCTGGGATTGAACCGGCGCTGCAGAGGCTGCAGGCAGCTTCACAGCCCAGCGCTCAACCGCTGCACCACCAGGGGAGGCCCAGAACTCAGTCTTTATACCACTCTGAAATAGACTTTACAAAAGCATTTCAGAAATCATTACAACCTAGTATAAAAGGGTTAATTTTAAATAAATACTGGATAATTAATTTTCATTGGTATTTTCTGCCATTATCAAAGGGAGGGCAGCGGCGTTGAAAAATCTGTACTTGGGTACTGAAACAACTTTCTTTTAGTAGGAAATTCGGAAGTGAAATATGGTTCTGAGTACCTCATGAAAGAAAATGATGGCAAATAAAACATTTTCCTTGAGCGCCTCCCCAGTGGCACAGCAGGTTGAGCACAGCGCTGTGAGGCAGTCCACGGCCTCTGCAACGCCAGTTCGATTCCCCGCCAGCCAGGGAGATTCCCAGATGGCGAGGCAGACCTCTCCTGTCTCGCCTGCTGCTCCCCTCAGCAGTGTATTTCGGTCCTTCTGCCTGTTCTGCTCCCTGCTCTGTCTCTGGTGAATTCTCTCACCCTCCCGTGCCTCTGGCCTATACTCCAGTGCTTGTATAAATAAATAAATAAATAAATAAATAAATAAATAAATAAATAAATAAATATTTTCCTTCAGCTGAAAGACAAGAGGAGGAAAAAGCAAACATGGCAGACTTCCATGACTTAATTCCTTTGTGTAAAGACCCCAAAGGGCTCACAGGTCCTCCATTTGTAAAACCAGGAGCTGTGCAAAGTTTGTGACCTCATTTCCAGCCAACAGTCACGTGCCCATGGGGGACATAGGAGGGGACGTAGGAGGGGTGTGGATGAGGTCAAGAGGGATAACGCAGAGAAAAATAAGACCAGCAGGCATTTAGAGAATGTCCAGAGGATAAGAACTGACTGTTTGAAGAATGAAATAGGCCAAGTTAAAAGATAGGATTATTCAACATTTCTATTTTAAGACCACTTAAAGGAGGAGGCCATCTCAAAGACCCAAGAAACAGTGAACTATTTCCCTGGCAAAGAATTTGATCTTAAATGTCTTTTGTCAACTGAATTTCCAAGAGCAAATATAACATGTGGGAAGCGAGACTAGGCCCCGCACTTCTGTTTGGCACTTGCTCAAGGGAGGACAAGGAGAACCCATGGCTGGGTGACAACCAGGACATGCAGGGAAATGCAAGGGGGGATTTTTAGAAATAAGTCACAGAGTAAGTCATTACCTCCTTCAAAACCAGAAGATCAAGCACTGGTGGTTATTCCTCAAATATATTCTAAGGAATCTTTTTTTGGGTATGGAGGGGTGTGTCCATGGCAAATTCCACTCTGGTGACAGAACTTGCTCAGGGGCCCGCTCCACCCAAGCCCTCCCGGAGTCGGGATGTCTGGGTGTCTGTGTCTCCAGGCAGAGGCGGAGGCAGTATTAAGGGGTGAGGCGGGGGGCTCTGTGGCAGTCACCACTGCCCTATGTGACTTATACTTCCAAATGCTGGAAAGCTGCTTTCAACTCCCTTATTTGTCTTTGTAACCCGTGGAAATTTATCCAAAACTTTTTTTTAAGATTTGTTTTTGTGTAGAAGAACCGGGAGGTGCCGGGCTGGGGTGGGGGGCTGAGAGGACTCACCAAAGACAGCAAAGACAGAGTGGGGAGCAGAACAGGTGGATCTACTGAAATACACTGCTGAGGGCAGCAGTGGGTGAGACAGGAGAGATCTGCTGTGCCTTGTGGATTAGCTCCCTGGCCAGGGTTGGAATGCAGGCCATAGTGGTGATAGTGCTGAGACTTAACCCCTAGGCCACCAGGGAGGCCCCCATCCAAACTTTTTTGAGGTCCTTATATTTTTGATATGTAACTTTCTTGAAATAGTAGTCAGATCTCTGCTGGATAAAGGATGCAAGTTTCAATGTGAAAGGATACTTAGTGTTCAGTCAAGCCCCTGGATCTCACAATCAGTCTACACCTGCACCATGCAAAACACAGTGAGCAGAGAGGCTGGGCAGAGTCAGGCTTGGCTTCCCAACATGAATGCCCTGCCTGACCTCCCACCCTGTCTGTTCCATCAAAGGCCACAAAGCTCCATCTCTGGCACAGGGAATGGCTGTCCTCCACAAAGGACAAAGAAAAGTAGCTTCAGATTTTCCACTGGATTTAATGACAGAGAACCCTGACATCGAGCTGTTCCCGACAGGGTCTGCACCCAGCACTGCTGGCTCAGCAAGTCCTGAACCAGTGGGCCCTGGGCTCTCGGGAACGACAATGCTCCTGCTGCAGAGGCTGTGGGCTGCCCGTAGGCCGGGTGAGGGTGTCCATGAGCTGAGACAGGTGTGGGAAGAGAGAGCTTCACCATTACCGGCCCTGCTGACAGGCCCCACAGAAGGCCTCTGCCACAGACCTCACAGTGGTCCAGACTTCTTTTTCATTAGAGGCAAAACAAAAAGCAAAAATAAAAAAAAATCCAGTGACTACAACAAAATCTCAATTTCTGCATTTTTTTTTTGTTGGGGATAGCGAGGACGATTTCATCTGATCAAAGAAAGAACCAAAGCACTTCTGAGGGTGAGCACCTTGCCGCCTTCTGTCCTAAACAGTCTTCAAGAGCAGCAAACTCTATGAGAGCCTGAAAGACAGTCCACTGCACGGAAAAGACTGTGGAAGTACACTCATCGCAGCCTGCAGCTCCCTCCGCTAGGATCTCTGTCCAGAGAGAGGAAGGGACTTTCCTGGGCAAGGGCGTCGCTCACAGGGCGGCTGAGGCGCCCTCCTAAGAGACTTGGGCTGTTTCATGCACTCTCCACCCTGAGCCTCCAGAAACACAGAGGGGATGGCTCTTCCTGGGGTGCTCCTCAGCAGGTGTGAACAGGATGGGACTCAGGGAGACCAGAGAGGACGGCCACCAACGGCGAAGGCCTTGGCTCACACGCCGCTTTTCTGAAACACGCTGACACTGAGGCCTGTCCCGCCATGCCCTGAACATGGAAATGCAGCAGCAGCAGGGTAAGGAACAGGGCAGAGCCAGGAAACTCACACCTGCTGCCTCCTTTTACTCCCCAAGAAAAGGTGCTCTCACACTTCTCCTACATTCGAAGGGGAGGACCAACAGGGGCACTTGGGTGACAGCTATCAGTCTACCTGGCACAAAGAGTGGGGCACAGACCCTGCAGGCATGTGAGACTGAGGGGATGGGCGCAGGCCCTGTGTCTGTTTGTAGGAGGTGCAGCTAATGGCCCGCATCCGGGCTTGCTGCTGCCAGAGTTGCCCTAACCTGGGCCTGGGCCCGGCTCTGACCCTCACGAATGCTGCAGGCCAGAGGCAGGCCCTCCACCCCTCCAATGAGGCTGGCAGTATGAGGAAAGCAAAGATGCCCTCAGGGGGCCTCCCTGGTGGCACAGGGATTAAGTCTCAGCATTAGCAAGCTATTGACAGCCTCTGAGGCCTGAATTCGATCTCCGGCCAGCTGGGGTGATCCACATGGCGCAGCAAACCTCTCCTTTCTCCCCACTCTGTCTCTGGTGAATCCTCTCATCCCCATATCTCTGGCCTGCACCCCAGTTCTTGTATGCATAAATAAATCTTAAAAAAAAAAAAAAAAGATGCCCACAGGCCTTGCTGTTACGATAAAGGCAAAAACGCAAGTGAAGCACTTGCCATGATGTCCCACGTGGGAGGCTGGCCAGACCAGCCAGCCATGGGGTGCACTGCCAGATGAGAACTGTGATTCTCTGAGGACAAGGCTAGTGTGGGGAAGGGGGAGCCTCTAGTTTAACTGCAAGGATCTGGGGATTTTAATTCAATAAACGGACCTACTGAGATGAACATAAATACTCGACTGACATAAACACAGTTTTAGTATTGAGTTAGGAAGCATCTCAGATTGGTCATTTTAATGGAATGCTTTTCTTGGATGAAGAGAAAAGAGGGCAGACATAAGAAGGGAATATGCACAGCAAGTAGAAATCAACATTGTTTTCACTAAGACAATAAAGACAGGGAGCCGGAGACCAGAGCCTCTTGTAGTACACTCCATGACCCCCGCTGGCATCTGTTCTCTTCTGTGGTGAGAGGGGGTGTCGGCTGGAAAGGGCGGTCCTGGAATTCACAGGGGTCAGAGCTAGAGAAAGCTCCGGTGGACAGAGCTCAGGGTGAGTCCCCATCCACAGCTGGACATTCATGCTCTGGTTTAAGGGGCGACTGTGCAAGCACAGGGATGGGGCGGGGGGAGCTGAGCTCAGTGGGCAAGGAGAGTGTACCTGCTTCCTTCAAGGTGCTACACTTCTGGTAGATGGATGTCCTCAAGGTGGGCGCCCTCACATTGTATAGTCGGATCTTCTCAATCCGGGAGTCAAAGACTCGCAGCAGAGGATCCTTCTCTTCCCACTGAGACATGATTTTATTATCAATGAAGGTGGCAAACATCTGTGTTTCAATGAAGCGTGAAAGGAAGGGCAGGTATGGTTCCGGCTGGTCAGACAGGAAGGAGGCCTGCAATGAGAGAATTGGGGACTCGTTAGAGCAGGGAGACTGTGTCTACACCAAGTGACGAATCCCTGCGTTATCTGGGGTAGGAGACACCCTTTGTCAACCCAATCATGCAGACTGTGGCTTGAAATCCAGAAACCACTTTTCCTGCCCTTCTGCTCAGTTCATGGAGTTCAGCTCACCGGGCCTCTGGCAGGGGTCCTGTCTTTTAACCTGCATGCCCTCCGTGGACAGAAGGGGCACCTTGATGAGAAGGGGTGGCTGTACCATGATGGCCAGTGTTCCCTGACCACTAGCGTAACCGCTGGCTCCAGAGAGCTGAGGCCTCTGGTCTACTGGCCAGGCCCAGCCCAGGGAGTGGCCCTGGTCACCAGGTAGTGGTAACTGACACTGCTGCCCTGGCAGCAGCACACGCAGGTAGTGACTCTAAAACCAACATGGAATGTGACTGTGTGGATGAGATCTTTTGGTTCTTTTTCTAGTCTGCTTTTTGAGGCCCCAACACCATTAGAGATTGATGGGTGAGCACTGACTCCAGATCAAACGCCTGCCAGAGCAGTGCTGGCAGACTAGCTGGGACTTCAACACTGGAAACAGCACTGCCTAAAAACCACCCAGAGGCAACTGAGCCTGCAGACACACCCATCCAGCTTGGTTGCTATGGGAACCGGCACCTGCACTGTGGCCAGTTTCTCCCTTCCCTGTGGCTCCTCAGGTCCCTGGGTGCAAGGAAATGCTAGCTGCAACTTGGTATGGGCTGACATGTGGAAGCGGTCTACTATTTCAATTGCTGGACTGGTCCTGCCGCTCATTCTCTTTGGTCAGTGTGGTGAGGCAGAAGCCAGGGATGAGTCCCAGCTGGGACTCATCAGCTCTTCCTTACATATTCACTTTTCATTTAATATCTAGGAAGGCTTGCAAACACTTCCTTATAGAAGTAAGTGTAAGTGCCTTCATAGCACAGATGTCTTTGCATAAATCCAAATAGCCAGAGAAAGGTTCACGGGGACAGAAAGGTTCTCTGAAGGTGAAATGTGAAGATAAATATTAATATAACTTCTTACAGAGCAAAATGCCTTATTTCCTGGGAGGGCCCAGTGTCTGCTGTGATGGTCAAGCCATGGCGGCGCCCAGGAGGGCAGCAGAGACTGGCCCTGCAAGACTAATGTGTGAGGGTCCCACAACATTTTCTGGTGGAAAGGGAGATGATTACTCCTTCTCGAGTCCAACATGAAATGCTCCTCTCTCTAGGGGCAATATAAAAAGAATTCTATTTATAGTTCAGAGCCACAGAAAGATGAAGAGGGAAGAAAGTGCCAGCACTCGATTCAGATAAGAATTTGAATGGCCTGAGGATAAATCATGAGTGTACACAGATTAGCTTCAAGCTGAATAGGAAAAAAAAAAAAAACCATGGAAAAATGGTTAAGCTTAATGAGAAAGGAGCTGAAGAGCAGGAATTTGTCTGGAGAAGTAAAGGCTTCTTAACGTTAAAGATTCTTTCTCAAACACAAAGTGCGTCATAACTGTTCAGCATAGTTTATATAATGATCAAATCAGAAAAGAATCTTTTTATGCTACCTACCTTTACAAAAATGTTTTATTAATACTTATTTGCCAGATGCTCCAAGGCTTTACATTAGCCTCCCAGCATGCATCAGCCCCTCTGAGAGGTGTTTCCTGACACACAAACAACATTTAGCAAAAAATGGTGATTCACGCTAATAGCTCATCTGGTGTCTGCACGTACCATGCCCCAGGCAAAGCTGGGACTAGGCCCCGGGGACCTGACATGGTTAGCACAGCCCTAAGTGCTTCTGTCTGGGAAAAAAAAAAAATCTGGTGGCTACGGCAAGAAAACCTGGCAGAAGAACACCCCGGAGTAAATCCTAGAAAGAAGCTTCGACTTCAGCAGGACCATCGAAGGCTGGTGTCACTCTCTGTCCTCTTTCCGAAACTCGAATCCAGCCTTTGACTTCTACTCATAAAACCCAAGCCAGTTACTCACCACTGACCTGAGAACAAGACAAAAGTTTGGCTTCTGAAACTAAAGGGTCACCTTTAAGTTGCAGCTTCAAAACAGGATGAAAATGAAACATAGGAATAAGGATTTACTAGAAAAGGAATCGGTTTCATTGACTTGATCCGAAAGTAAGGGCAAATGGGAGACCTGTCCGAGGCCTGGTAATGTCAGTAGATTGGAAAAAACCTGTGAAATGGAAGGGCTTCTAGAGCTCAAGTGTCTTCAAAGTAAGGGGAACTTAAAAATGAGCTCAAGGGCAGCTTAATACACTATTGGGTGACCAGCTTATTCATGAGCTGGCCGATCTGCTCTCCTGTCAAATTGTTTTACCCAGAGTAAAAGACAGGCAAAGAAAGACCCTTTGTGGGAAGGAACAGAGGGAAGATCTGAGTTTTAAGACAAGTGAAGGGAACTAGGGAGTCTGGCCCTGACAACCACAGAAGGGAAACAGTAGAGTCGTTACTTTGTCAAAGTTCTGCATCTGCTCGCGGTTGGTCAGCCAGGACTCCATGTCCTGCGCCGTCTGGATGACGAAGGCCTCGTAGTCTGCGAACATCTGTGTGAAGCGGTTGGCAAACACCTCCCGGAGCTGCACATTGAGCTGGTGGTCCCGCAGCTCGGCCCCCTCGCACTGCAGTTTCACATCCTTGTCACCCAGGGAGCTGGGCAGGCTCATGCTTTCCACGGCCACCCCGGTCCGCTTAGCCAGAGCGTGCAGGCGGGCGAGGGTCTCGTTGCCCTGCAGCAGGTTGTACACGTTGATGTCATTGGGGGCCACGTTGCCGTTCTTCTTGTCGATGACCAGGTCGCTCAGGACCAAGCTCTGCAGCTTGGTGGCGCTCTCGCTGTCCTGCAGCCGGCCCTCGGGCGCGATCCCGAACTGGAGCAGCACCTCGGAGAGCTCCTGGATGAAAGCTGCTTTGTTGGGGAACTGGGGGAATTCCTCTGGCAACTCGATGAAGTGGTTGTCAATGTCCACAAAACACAAATTGGCCTGAAGAAGAAACAAAGACGTGAGCAGGTGTGAAAATAAGGACATTGTATGTTTTATAGTATGTCTGCCAACGGCTACAGGTGAAATCGTAGGTCAGGAGTATGTTAATCTTCTCAAGGTTACGACTTTCTTATTCTTTTAAAAATAAATCTCTTTGTCAAAATCTTTCCCTATTTTTTATGCCAACTTCACTATCCACCCACTCATTTTCTCTGGGCCATGTCAGTTCACTATAATGCACATGCCCCTGGGTGTTCTTAAACAGCCCAACAGGGACAGGTGTGTGGACCCCCACACAGGAGACACCAGGATGCTCTGGAAAAAGCCTCAACTCTCTGGGTCTTTCCACCACTCTAGCATCCAGTGTAATTTAGAATTAACAGGAATTGCCAAAATTTAGCATCTGTAGAACCCAACATTGGGATGACATTAGCAAAGAGCAATCAGAGCAATCCAGTTTACAGAAAATCCACATGTTTTCACTTTATCCAGAATTATCTTCAAACTCTTGGAAAGCAAAACCATTTCAGAAGCATTTAGACAAAAGGGGCAGAGTGGAGGGGAGGGAGCAGGGGCCCGCTGGGTTCAGCAGATGAGGGTCCCTTGGGTAATTGGTGGGAGGATTTTGAAGTCTTTTTTGAGGGGTGTTGGGTTCAGAGTGAGGTCCTTGGATTACCGCTGAGTAAAGTTTCACCAGACCGTCCCTTTTAGAGGCACAAGTGAGTTTCCCCACGAGGCAGAGACTTTTGGTTATATCCAAAGGGGCAGGTCTATTATATAAAAGAAAGGACAGGAGAAGATGCCTGCATAGACATGGGCAGGAGGGAGAGCTGCCTCTTGCCAGGGGAGCAATTACACTGTTAGAGTGTTCCCTTTTTTTTGGGGAGGGGCAGAGTTCATTCCTTTGGGAATGCTATGAATTGTTAATTCTAGGGTGTGACTAGGTTGATTTGTGAGGACCAGGATTCTCTACAGTGGCCTCCATCTCTACATCCCACCTCTGTCTTCGCCTCCAGATCCTTCCTGCAGCCTCTGATACTCCTGCAGCAGTTGGACCTAAGGGTTTTCCTTACTATAATTGGTTTAAGGACTGTGTGCATCATCTCTACCCCCACCTCCAGTTTCTGGCCTTGTGACACTTCCATCCCAAATTTTCTACTCTCAGCCTCCATCAGTTTCACCCAAAAACCTTAGGGAAGAGGTGGCTGGGGGAATGTTTGTAAGCTGAGGAGAGAGGAGACAGAAATCAGAAGAGATGTTTTCTTCAGTTGATTTATGTTCTAGATTTGGAATAAAGAGATGACTATTTTCAAGTACGTGAGAGAAACACAAGGGGCCAGGTGCTTCACAAAACCCTGACTGTCCCCCAGGTCCTGAGGACTGGGGGCCCCAGGGAGTGTTCCCCCTTTTTCACCCCACCTCAGAACCAGCAGAGACGATGTGGTGTGAGGACTGAGCTCCATCCCCAGGTCAACTAGAGGGCCATCTGAGTGACAAGCAGCAAAATCTCAGCGTACCCCGCCACCCCACAACAGAGACTCAACCTGAATTTTTTTTTTAAAGATGTATTTATTTATTTATACAAGCACTGGGTACAGTCAGAAGCGTGGGAAGGTGAGAGAATTCACCAGAGTCAGAGCGGGGAGCAGAGCAGGCAGAAGGACCGAAGTACACTGCTGAGGGGAGCAGCGGGCGGCAGGAGAGGTCTGCGCGCCATGTGGGACCCTCGCCCGGCGGCCAGGGATGGAAATGGCACTGCAGAGGCTGCGGGCAGCTTTGCAGCCTAGCGCTCAACCGCTGCACCACTGGGGAGGCCCTCAACCTGAACTCTTAAGCCTGAAATAACCTCTGAAGAAATTGAGGCCCAAACAGAGAGGAGACTCGGGGGCCCATGTCAGACAAGCACGCGCAGACGGCCAGTGGCTGAGGGGCTCCTCCCCCCATGTCTGCTCCAGTGCCAGCATTTTCCTCTAAACCAAAGAAGAGTGGCACTGCCTATGGCTTCCTTTAAATCTGCCTCTGCATGTGTGTCACAGTCTTTGGGAATCAGGTCCCCGGAAAGGCTAAGAGGACCAAGTAAGTCACTGTCATTCAAGGGCGTGACTCAGCAGATGGAAAACCCACTAACTAAAGTGCTCACCCCGTGCTGACCAGCAGTCCCCGGCTCTGCATTTTTACTGCCTCCTTCACTAATGCCTCCCTGCAGACCTTTCCAGCCCCTCCAGCTATGAACAGAGACAAGAATTCATCTTGGGAAATGCTGAACTTGCCAAGCCCCGGTAGTCACTACAGAGCTGAAGACCGGTGGCCAGGGGGCGTCCATCTCACGGGGCTCTGCACCCACCTCAGTCTGTTTGGAAGGGCCCCAGGTGGAGCCTCGAGCCTCACAAAGTACAGACAGGAAAAATGAACTCAGGCCAGGAACACTTATTGAGGAAAAAACCAAGAAGCCCCATTTTCTCACACAAACAAGAATTTCACACATTGGGACTTTCGGAGAAGGGACTTTCTCATCTTCACACCATTAAATTTCATAAAGGGTTTGAGGAATATTACAAACACTGAAAAAGATGCTCAATAGCCAGCCTTGTGTTGTTTTAAGGCTAGATAGTTCCATTTTTTAAAAAAGATTTATTTATGCATACAAGAACAGGGGTACAGGCCAGAAGTACGGGGTTTGCAAGGATTCACCAGAGACAGAGGGGAACAGAACAGGCAGATCTACGGAAATACACTGCTGAGGGGAGCAGTGGGTGAGTCAGGAGAGGTCTGCTGTGCCATGTGGGTTGCTCTCTGGCTGGGGTTCGAACTCATGCTGCAGTGGCTGCGGATAGCGTCATAGGTTGTGTCTTAACCCCTTGCGCCACCAGGGAGGTCCTAGTTCCATATTTTTACTGAGCATCTGCCCACAAATCTACATGAGACAGTTACTTCCAGTTAAAAATGCTGTCGGCACCTTTAAGGTGGGGTGCTGAGGCAGGAGACCCCTCAGCAGCGGTACCCAAGCTCTGGGTATCCCCATGGTCTGAGTTCACTCTCCTAGCTGCTGTGTGTGCCAGTATCTCTGGGACTTGTGGGTGCCTCATCCCCATGTCCTGGAGCCGGCCGGCTCAATTTGAAGCCTCCAGCTCAGTGGCAGGAGAAGGAGGGGTCCGGGAAGGGCAGCTGGGCTCATCTCTCCATGGCTGATGGGGCTGCCACTGGGGCAAGTTGGAGAAGAACATTCCTAGAATCTCTGGGCAGGACACAACAAAAGGCAGGAGGCCAAAGCAGTTCTGCTCCAGTCTCAGGCCTGACAGTCTGTCCATCACTTACTACAAGTCCAAGGGGTGGTGCTGTTCTGTGCAGCTAGCCCGGGGCCCTTCCCTCTGCCATCCCGCACCCAACTCCCCCAGACAGCCCAACAGATGGCTGCCAGGGGCACTGCTGTGGAATTGCAGGCAAATGATTGGCAGGCCGTTTTGAGTCTGTGTGGTTTCGCCGTCAGCTAACGCCCCAGATTGCACCTCCTGAGATGATCATTTTGTGCACATCATGCTCACGGTTGGGCCGTGTGCCCTGGCACTATTTTTAGCTGTGGTTTTATTTTAGTTCCCAGGGAAAGCACGTGTGTGTTTCCCCAGTGAGCACAATCGAATCACTTTTTCTAAGTGGTTATTTTCATACCGACTCCCTCCCCCAAGTAGATGATGTCTCCCCATTGTAAAACGACACCAGAGCACAGTGACACGAGGCCATCAGCTTTCTCCCCATGCATGCTCCTCCACTGCGCCTGTGCTTTAGTCTACACTGTGGCACGTGGGACTGTGTCTCCTTAAACGGTGCTGATTTCATGAATGAGAAATTAGAAAACCAGACACTCACACAAGGACCTTCATATTCTGAAGTATGTTTATCTTGGAGTCAGAGGATGCGCAGTGAAGATGGAAAGGCTTCCTGCCATAGATAGCGCAAGGTGGGGCTTTAAGGACTCTCAACAACTGTTACCCAAACAAAAACAATGGAAAGAGACTTCTATACACAAAGAGTCTTATAAAATACCATCTTAGGAACCTGTAATCAGACTAGGTGCACAGCAGAGTATTGCTGTTTAATTCTTAAAGTGAAATGCATTTGGCTGCTCTAGTCCTTTTTCCTTGACATTTGAAAGGATTTACTTCTTGGAACCAACCAGATGCTTAGATTAATCTAGTGAAAGAGGAACCAGGGGTATGCCTGAACAGAGACAAGAGGCATATGAGGGAGGCAAAGCCCAAAACCAAAAAAGAGTAAGACCATTTGCAGGGGTGTTTAACACGAGCTGCACGAAGTCATTGATTCAAAATGTTTGTTTGGGGGCCTCCCTGGTGGTGCAGTGGTTGAATGCTGGGTTGCAAAGCTGCCCGCAGCCTCTGCAATGCCAGTTCGATCCCTGGCTGCCGGCGAGGGTCCCACATGGCGCGCAGACCTCTCCTGCCGCCCGCTGCTCCCCTCAGCAGTGTATTTTGTCAGTCTGCCTGGTCTGCTCTCCATTCTGGCTCTGGTGAATTCTCTTACCCTCTCGTGCTTCTGACTGTATCCAGTGCTTATATGAATAAATAAATAAATCTTTTAAAAAAATGTTTGTTTAGGAAGAGAAACACTGACTTGAATAAGGGAAGTGGTGGACAACTGCAGGCACCAGTACTGGTAAGATGGCTGTGGCTCAAGGTCTCATTTTAAATTCACTTATGAAAACAAGAATCTCCTTGGGAAACAAGAACAGCATGGATGATTTTATGAAGACAGGCACTAATTAAATAGCTAATAATATAATGTAGTGAACCATTTTATGTGTTTTACTATGTCAAGACACTTTCATCGATACTTCTTTTCCGAGGTTTTCCAACCCAGTTCTGTGTACCATTAACAAGTAAAATTGAGAGGCAAATGCTCTAAAGGCTTCCTGTTTATTTTCTTCTAAGCATCATCTGAAAATCCAACACATAGAGAACAGTCCAACCTTAAGGGGCCCTAAAAACCGGGGTTTATTATTTTTATCTCAATCACCTTGCCCAGCTGACCTTTAGAAAAGGCTGGTAACCAGCCGTAGGTCTGGAAACGAAAAACTCTAAAGGATGTGATACTTCTGTTTGCCCCAGCAGGCTGAAGGGTGCCATCTTTCATTGAATGGATATCAAGAATCAAAGTCAACATAATCAACACAGTAATTTTTAAGAATATTCTAATCTGGGCTGTATATCATGTGTGCCCTGAATGTGGGAAGAGGAATGAAGTGGTACCAGGATGATAAGATAATTAGATAATGCTATTTTGGTTCCTTCTTCACAAATTTAAAGCTGTGAAAACTGGCCATGGTCCTGTTTGGTTTTTAATTTTATTTATTTTTGCATAGAAGAACTAGGGTGTAGGCCAGAGGTGCAAGGGGTGAGAGGATTCATCAGCCAGAGTGGGGACCAGAACAGGCGGATCTACTGAAATCCACTGGAAGGGGAGCAGTGGGTGAGACAGGAGAGGTTTGCTGCACCATGTGGGTCAGCTCCTTGGCCGAGGATTGAACTCAGACCTTAGTGGTGATAGTGCTGAGACTAACCCCTAGACCACCAGGGAGGCCCTATGGTCCTGTTTTGAGCCAGGTTTAATTAAGGATCATGTCCCAGTAACCCCCACTTCCCACCCCTACACACAAGGAACCTGGAGCCTCAGCCACAGTGGCAGCCTTCACGGCTATGCCCAGCCTTACCTCCTGAGGAAGTTCTAGTTTGGAGCGGTCAGTTCCTTCTTTTGACTGAAGACCCATCAGGTAGGGGACTGGAGCATCGAGGAAATGCAGCAGGGAGGCGGGGAGGATGGGCACGTAGACATGTTGCCACTGGAAAGGGAACAGGAGGGCTGTGACGCCCTCAGCCACAGTCATCAGGCGCTGGTAATCTGCAGGGACAAGGGCCATGAACATGTGTCAGTGTCCTGCTGGTAAACACGGTGTCCAGAAGAGGCTCTGGTGCTAGCAAACGAATGATAACGATCCTGCAGACAATGGGTGGGCGGGTGTTAGTCCACCATGATTAAGGAGTTCAGCAGTTTCCTGTGAGGGTGGAGACACACACAAACACATATATACACATCGGCAAATACACACACACACACACGGCCAGCTGAGGCCAAAGAAGGCACTGGCTAGAGCACACAGATGTCCTCTGTGATGGGGATGGTCAAGGAGGTGACCCCGACACCCCTTCACCCTGCAAGTGTGAGGCAGATGATGGAGCTGTGGGAGATGAGGGTCTTCCACCTCAGGGAGCTGACCTGAACCCCGGGGTCTGTGGAAGGCACAAGTTCTGGGTCTATGCTACGGTGGGAGGCACCAAGGAACCCAGTCTCCACTGGGGCAGGACCCGCTGTTACACCTCCTCTTCCTGGTGCCCACCAGGGCTTCATCTCGTCTGCCCAGAGAAGGGGGCTTCATCTTGTCTGCCCAGCTGTGCGGAAGTAGCCTGATGGATGCTGCGGTATGTCACACACACGTCTCTGCTTTTACTAAAAAGCGCCCAACCAAAGAGCTAGAAGCAGGAAGGCAAGCAGAGCAGGTAACTATGAAGCAGGCCAAATCCAGGGAGATGGCCCTAGGATTCTCTTCTGTGGCATCCATTCAACCGAGGACTGGGGTCTTTTTATTTTTCTAATCTCAGTAGCTTAGTGTATAACCTGACTTATAATAAGTATTGAAAAATATCTTTGAGTAAATAAATGCATTACTAGGATCAGATTATAGAACCATGCTCGCTAGCCACAACTTACATAGGCTTGATTAGACTTTGTCCACATGAGAGTCAAGAACCACTTATTTTTCAGTAAGAGAAAATGGTAACAATCCAGAGAAAAAATGATTCACTCAAAAAATCCTATTTCCTGGATACTTACATATCCAGCTAGTTGTGTGCATGTTCAGGCACATTATAAAGAAAATTCAAGTATTCACTTATTAAGCCATGGATACTGCTTATTACACAGAAAATGTTTACCCAGTGACTCATTCTAACTATGCTTCAGTAGATCCTACAGAGATCAGAACTACCCTTTAGAAACAAAGATTGATTTTTGTAAAGAGTTATTTTTATTTATTTATGCATACAAGATCTGGGGTGTAGCCCAGAGGTAAAAGGGGGTGAGAGGATTCCCCAGAGACAGAGTGGGGAGCAGAACAGGTGGATTGACTGAAATCCACTGCTGAGGGGAGAAGTGGGTGAGAAAGGAGAGGTCTGCTGAGCCATTGGTTCAGCTCCCTGGCTGGGTATCAAACTCAGGCAGTAGTGGTCCGCAATGTTTGCATTTTAACATTTGTCCTCCTCTATGAAATTAAGTGGTCTCAATTGTGCCATCTGAGGCAGCTTTCCCCAGCTCTTCAGAGTGGGAAGGATTATAGAGATGCGTCTAGAGTCTTCTGGAATTGACATGAAATTGCAAGGTCATCCCAGCGGGGTATACATCCACAGTCACTCCAGGAGTTGGAGGAGGAGGAGGTGCATGGAAAATTCAGAGAAAGAGAAAGGCAACACCATTTAAATATTTTATGACGTGACTCTATTCCAGATATGTAGTGCGTCTTATGTAGATGAGTTATCACAAAAAAACAACTTGACTGGTGTTGCCTGTATTTGCAAACTTTTAAAAACTGGTATTTGCTTTATTATGGGCTTCTATGGAGTTCTATAGTTACAAGAATAAAATTACTAGAGTTTTTCTAGGTACTGTTGTTAAAGATTGGGTTTCTAAGACAATCACTTCCTTTAAAATGTTTCTGGGGCCTCCTTGGTGGTGCAAGGGGTTAAGCACAGCACTATGAAGCAATTCACAGCCTCTGCAGCACAAGTTCGATCCTCGGCTGGCCAGGGAGCAAACCACATGGCGCAGCAGACCTCTCCTGTCTCCCCAGCTGCTCCCCTCAGCAGTGTATTTCAGTAGATCAGCCTGTTCTGCTCCCCACTCTGTCTCTGTGAATCCTCTCATCCTCTTGCACCTCTGGCTCTTGTATGCATAAATAAATATATCTTTGGGCCTCCCCGGTGGCGCAGCGGTTGAGCGCTGGGTTGCGAAGCTGCCCCGCAGCCTCTGCAGTGCCGGTTCAATCCCCGGCTGCTCCCCGGCCACCGGAGGAGGGTCCCGCATGGCGTGCAGACCTCTCTTGCCGCCCGCTGCTCCCCTCAGCAGTGTACCTCAGTCCTTCTGCCTGTTCTGCTCCCCGCTCTAGCTCTGGTGAATTCTCTCACCCTCCCGCGCTTCTGACTGTACCCAGTGCATGTATAAACAAACAAACAAACAAACAAATAAATAAATAAAGCATGCCTCTATAAAAAAAAAAAAAAAGAAAAAAAATAAATATATCTTTTAAAAAAAAATCAATAAAATGTTTCTGACTCAGCTAGGCCCTTAAAAAAACACTAAGATCTAGACTATAAAACAAAACTACATTTACAACATGAAATGGGAGAAAAGAAACTATTTAATGGTCCTTAAATAATTTAAAGGAAAACTTTATTTAACGGAGTTTTATTAGGAAAAGCAGTGTGCAGAGCCACCTGGTTAAGAAACAGTCATCATTTAGTCTGCCAATGCTTCAGTCACAAACAAGTCAGACTTTTTTGAACAAGATGGGCTTCTATGTCCACGTGGGGCGGGGGGAAGCACCCCCTAGGTGAGACCTAGGACAGGACTTGACATGCCAGGAAACCAGGAGTATATGAGGGTGTCAGGACACCAGCCCCACTGCAGTGGGGATGCGGCTTCCTGGCAAGAAAGGAAGCAGCAGCTACTGCCTGAGCGAGGCGGGGGACACTGCACGGTGACCCCGGGAGTAGGGGCTGAGTCCACTTATGTCCTGTAAGGTCAGAGGAGGGCATGCATGAGATCTGACCCTGGCCATGAGGACATTGCTCCTGCCCGTCAGGGGCTGCTTGTCTCTCTTTCCCCCTCAGCTCTACTGACACACGAGAAAGGCTGGGGGCTGAGCACAGCAGTGTCCTGTCGATCATTAACTGCCCCGTCCATGGTTAGGATTACTGAAAAGTGTCTCACAGGGAATGATGACTACACTGCAGGGCAGGGCACTAGAGGCGCAAGCGAGAGAGGGGAGACCGCAGTGTAGGTACCTGGTGTGAAGTGTGAGGTGCAAACATTGTGAGGGAGGCAGTGCAAGGTGTCAGGTATGCTGTGTGCAATGAGAGCAGTGAGGGCAGAGAGCAGTGAGGGATGCAAAACACAGTGAGGCTGCAGCGTGCAGTGAGGTTGCAGTGGGGCTATGCCTTGGGGTTGCAGTGAGGTTGTAGTGGGATATGCAGTTAGGTTGCAGTAGGGTATGCAGTGAGGCCGCTGTGGGGTTGTGGTATGCAGTTAAGTGTGTACAGTTGTGCAGCCATGGATATGTGGAGGTGTGCCCTGTCAGCAGAGAGGTGTGCCCTATCAGCAGAGAGGTGTGAGTTGTGACTTATGAGGCTGGGGTATGTTGCGTGGTCAGGTGGACTCTGTGAGGTATGAGGGGTAAGGTCTATAGTGTGAGACGAGTTGTGTGCCATGTCAGTGAGGTGTGGCAGGAGGCTGCGGTGTGGGCCACCAAAGGTGTGTGTAGCGTGTTCTGACACTGCATTGAGGCGGTGGTGCCAGGGAGGTATCCTGTGTTGGGCAAGCCCAGCAATTTGAGGTTACAGGACTTGCAACTTTCTCAGGAAAAACTCAAGAAGCCTCCACCTTCTGATGAGGTTAATTCAGGCACAGCTCAGAGAAGGTGGCAGGGAGAGGGGGCTGGGGGCACAGGCAGGCATGCAGGCAGCGCTGTGCCCACGTGAGTGTGAGGGGAGTGCAAGACACGACTTGACTTAGTGGCACCAAGTGTTAGACACTGGGGTTCATCCCATCTTTACTCCCCATGACTCCTCTGGGAGGAGGACTAGACCTCGAGCTCCGGGCGGCTCCAGGCTGTGCTCTTTTCTGGCCTCCTAGGCCCCAGAACCTTTACCTCCTGGCTGTGTTCTCTGCATAAAATGCCCGCCTGTCACCACTGTGAGTGACTGGGTGTGTGAGTGCCCTATAGAACAGACCAGGTCTGGAAGAAGGGGCTGCACACCAGATCCCAGTTCTGTGGACAAGGACGTCTCATCACTGAACCCCATCACCTTTGGGTTTTTGTGGGAACAGCTTTAAATGTTATGGCTTATCAGTGGTTGGAAATGAAGTTTCAGAGGACATTAAAGGCCCCTTGACACAGTTGGGAAGGATGTGGGTGGGCGCCAGGGCACACATCAGATGTAATGACTCTCATCTCACTCATCTCAAATGGGCCAGACGTCATCCATGTCAAGATATTTTTTTCTCAGTTTTTTAAAAAGATTTATTTATACAAGAACTGGGATACAGGCCAGAGGTGGGGGAGCGTGAGAGGATTCCCGAGAGACAGAGTGGGGAGCAGAACAGGCAGACAGACCGAAAACACTGCTGAGGGGAGCAGTGGGCGAGACAGGAGAGGTCTGCCGTGCCATGTGGGTATATCCCTGGCCAGCTGAGAATCAAACCCACACTACAGAGGCTGCAGACAGCTTCACAGCCTGTGCTCAACCCGCTGCACCACTGGGGAGGCCTACGTCAAGATATTTTGTAACTTCCACCTTTATAATAGACATCGTGAGCCACGAGCTAGTGACTTAGAGATATACAGGGAACAGAGGAGGGAAGGCTGAAGAGGGTGCCAGTCCATGAGTCCGGCAGCCAAGCCTCTTTGGGGAGTCCCCAGCCCCAAGCTCAGCCCCACTGTTACCGGCAGCTATGTGACCTTGGCCAGGTACTTAGCTTCCCCGAGTCTCAATGTCTTCCTGAGTCAAACACGCCTGAGAGTACTAACCCCTTGTTGAGAGGAATAAATTGGGGGTGGGGTGGGGCAGGAACCAGAAACAAAAATAAACAAACAAAACAAAACAAAACTCTTACCAGGCATTTTACACCATAGTTTTAACAAAGAATGATTTCAATGAACGGTTATAAAATTCAGCACATGCCTTTTCTATCACAGTATTCACACACACGCACACACACGCACACACATATGTTTGCATTTATATGTGTATATTTCTATAATCTCAGGACTCACTCTCTCTTGGCATAAAAAATACCAAAATACTCATTTGGTGAAAAAACCCATATGCTCTATAATCATTCTTCTTCATTTGCAAATGAAATCAATAGGTAGATCCTTATAACTTTTACCAGCTAACTACCCCCTGGCCCCACAGAGCAGCAGAGGGATAAGCTGACACAGCGGGAAGGTGGGCACTGAGCAGGGCTGGAAGGTCAGGCCTGCAGAGCTGGTTAGCAGGGGGGCTGTGATGTGGAAGGTTTCTGCCTAAAGGCGTGGCTTCCGGGATTAGAGGATGATCATTAGGCTCTCCAGCAAGAAACAAATGCCTTGACTGTTTAACAAAGTCACACTCTAACCACTTAAGATCTGATGACTTGCAGGGAGCATGGAGCAGCTAGTGATAAGTCAGGCAGTCATCTTCTGTCTGTGCCCAATGGATTCTGTACAGTCTTTCTTATTTAATCTTCAAAATCAAACAGGGAGTGAGGGGAGAGAAAGAAAAGAAAACAAAACAAACCTCTTGTTACCCCTTCCTCCCATGAATGAAGGGTCCAGGGCCACAATGCAGAGGGACAGGCCCAGCCCTGAGCTCAGGCCCAGGGCTTCTCAGGGCAAAGTGCTTTCCAGTCAGGGTGCTCAGGGGCAAGACTTTGCTGAATGACCTTGAAGAGCCTTGCAATTCAAGGACCTGAAGTTTCTCCTCCTGGGGGGGCTAATCACCCGAGGGAATGAGCTCAAGCCTGCCCCTCCAGCACAGTGCCACCCAGCCCCCCGGGGATGCAGGTGGGAAAGGAAGAACAGGGAATCCCTCTGACACAGAGGAGAGGGGAGGGGAGGGGGGAACAGGGAGGGGAGGAGGCGGAGGGGAGAGGAGAGGAAAGGAGAGGAGAGGAGAGGAGAGGATTGAGGTTGGGCAGCTGGAGCTGAACCTCCAGGACCTGCGGGCATCAGGACATGTGGTCAAAGAATGTCTGCATAAGAAACAGCAGGAAACACAGCCCTGCCAAGGGCTGTCAACACACGAACAGCATGTGTGAACACACACACAAGATGGGAAGTACAAATACAGCCTGCTTGGATCAGCCTCACTCGCCATTTAAAATAGAAAAGAAAAAAAAAAGGAGAGTGATGAAGCAGAGAGACTACAGCAGCAAGACCGCAGCCCCTCCAGCACCAGGCAAATCCCCTCCACCCCCCTGGGGTTGGCCCTAAGGGGCATAGGCCCTTCGACCTGCTTGCCCTCGCGTTACAGGGCAACCCCATACGAAATGGGTTGCCTGACTGTGGGTCCTCACCCGCACACTTAAAAGGGACTTATTAATACTCCACTGCATGGAGTTTACTCAGGACATCCTTTCCCCCTAACACTCATAGTCACCACCAGCCGGACTGGGTGGCTATTTTCTCGGCAAACTCACATTCCTGTTGGAACTAATATCTGGGCCAGGCTCAGCATTTACCACCATAGATGCAAAAAGAAAACCCAAATTGTGGTAGTGTCTTAAGATGGGTCGGGAGAACTTTGACGGAAAAATACCACGGAGGCAACTTCGTTTGGGGATGGTCAATAACCAGAGGCCCCATGACGTAGGTGGCACAGTGAGCCTGGGAGGGTGTTCCCACTGCACCCTCCTCTCAGTCATCCTCCTCAGCCCCAGGCCCGCTGACCCCTTCTGGAGTCAGCTAGAAGGTGACCCTCAGGTGACCTACAGAACGAGGAGTCCGCGAGTCCCTGGCAGAAACAGGACTCTCGCTGCACAAGAAGGAATTTACTGCTTCTATGAGGATCACGTCTTATCAGGAGAAGGGGGCTCTTCTAACTAAAGAGACCCTCCAATCAGCAGAGCCAGTGAGGGGGGTCCACCTCCCAGCATTCTCTGCACCATTGCCCCTGAGAGAAGCCTGCGTTGGCCCGGCCTCCCCACACACACACAAGACAGGCCCCTCCTGGGCTCTAGCCCATGCCAGAACAGGCTAGGGCGCAGGCACCGCCGGGAGACCTACCTTGCGAGTAGAGCAGGATCTGCATCTCCAGCAGCACACAGGTGAACACCTGCACCAGGTTCTCCAGCCCCAGCAGCTCCACCGCCTCCCGCAGCGGGTAGTCGGACAGTGGCAGCTCGTCGGGCCCCGGCCTCTGACAGATGATGGGCTCATACACCCCATAGAACTTGAGGGACCGGCCCGCGGGCGGCAGCGGCACCTCATAGAGGACATTGTGGATGTAGCTCTCGAGCGGCAGGGGCGGGGGCTGCTGAGAGGTCACAGCGCGGTGAAGCTGGGAGAGGAACTTGCGGCAGGCCTGCATGAAGGGCAGCGGTGTGATGAGGCAGATGCTCTTGGACACGTACAGGGTGTCTCTGGTGATGTCATAGGAGTTGTCGCGCTGGAGCTTCTGCAGGGACATGGCGTCCCCGTCGTCCAGGCTGCTGGCCAGCGAGTCCAGGCTGCAGGAGGACGAGGCACTGCCCTGCTGTTCGGCATTGTGCATCTGGTAGAGCGTCTGCATGGCCGTGCAGATCTGCTTGCTGGCCACCTCCTCGAAGAAGGTCAGCACGAAGCCGTAGGTGCGGGAGCCGTCCTCCCGGGTGATGATGAACGAGTGGAACTGAGGCTCCCTCTCGTCGGCTTGAGTTCGGAAGGACAGTCCTTTGGGCATGCACAGCTGTGGGGGAGGGAGAAGCGTGAGCACAGAGAACCCCAAACCAGGAAGCAATGTTGCCGTGTTGCTGCCAACCTCACTGGACTCAGAAGGACCTGGTTTGATTTAACACGACATCAGTAAGCAGCCTCAAAGCTGAGCTGCACTGGTCCTTGCCCCTAAGAGGAAAGTGCACAGGGCGGGTGGATGGGCCAGGGCATCACACGGCGTCACATGCAGGAGACCAGACTGAACCCAGGAAGGCCCCCCTTCGCCCCAGGAGGCTGCAGTACCCCAAGAATCACAGAAACCCTCGGAGGCCTGGTTTCTGGGTCAATAGCACCAGCTCTCTCTATAACCTAAAGACAAGACGTGCAAAGGCACTTTACAAATATTTAACGTAGAAGGGCTATGTTTCCGAGCAAAGGGGTGCAGATTCCTTTGATAAGCGAAACAATGTTCAACACAGAATAACAAAAACGAGGGGTCATTTCTGCTCTTTCAAACATGACACTTCACGCTAGAAAAATTCACATTGGAAAGATTCGATTTTTGACCTACTGCTACAGAAGGGCAGAAACAGGCATGCTTGGCTTCTTACAGCAGACACTCCCTTCCTGTCCTGGGGACATCCGGGGACCGAGTTACACTTGGGAACAAAGTTACTGAGGAGCCAAAGACAGTTCAGGTCAGACAGTTTCAGGGCACAGATCAGGATGGAGTCTTCAAAACACCTGGGTCACCTAGGCCCCAGCACACTGGCCTGGCCTCTGGTTGGAACTGTTTTCCTGGGGTACCCCCGTGTTCCGCTCCCTGAGTTGTACTGTATTTTCTAAAAATGGCTCCAACAATATTTCTAATTCCGCATTGTCTTCCAGAACCTTGCAATTCTCCCATCAAAAGGTGCAGTCCAGGGCCTCCCTGGTGGCCTAGGGGTTAAGTCTCAGTGCTTATCACCACTACAGCCTGAGTTCAATACCCACCCAGGTAGCTAACCCACATGGCGCAGCAGACCTCTCCTGTCTCGCCTGCTACTCCCCTTGGCAGTGAAGCCAATCTGCCTGTTGTACTCCCCACTCTGTCTGGTGAATTCTCTCACCCCCAGCACCTCTGGCCTACACCCCAGTTCTATGCAAAAAGAGGTGCAGTCTACCCATCTCCCAGAACCTGGGGAGGGCCTATGCTGCCACAATGAATGAAGCTCACCCAACACATTCAGTGTAGTCAGTCAAGACCACAGGAAGGCTGATTTGAATCATTCTTGCTCCAGGCTAAGCTCAAACGTATTTATCATAGTGCAGAGCACATAACTATTTGTTGAATGAATGAATGAACAAGACCATTAATCTCTGACTCAGCCTGTAGTTCTCTTCACACCCGATAGGAAATTGAGACACACCATGACCTCCAAAGTCAACATGAAGGTTTAATTTAATGGACAGATTTTCCTGACATCATAAACCACAAGATTACAGCTCCAACTGTTTTTGAACAGCTGCCAAATATTCTCTGAAGGCCTTGTCACTTTCTTGCACACAAATCCCAACATTTACAGGAAGAGCTTTGCCAAAAGTGGTGCTCAAGGTAAGGAAATGGCTTTCCAGGCTTTAGAGGACAGATGTAAGTGTCTCTAAATGCGGTTCCCACAAATCAAAAAAAGTGACTTCGACTTCTGATGTGGAAACTGTGAATTGGGAAATGCTATTTATCGCCTTTACGACTTTGAAAGTGAGAACTATTGCATGAATTGTTGGGCTTGTTTTCCCAAAAACTGAGCTCTAAATCAAAACTCGCTGTCCATGATGTTCAATGATCTCTCATCATCTCTAAGGGGACTACCATTCACCCAGCCAGGCCCTCCCCTCCCACAGAAAACCACAGTCTAAGCTGACCAGACCCCCAGGTTGCTCTGGGCAGTGGGCCAGAGAGGGCTGTGGGCCCTCTGAATCTGCTTGACCAAATGTCCTATTATCTCTCTGCACTCTTCATCTGGTCTGCTACCAAGCAGCACACAGCCCTGCCCCATTCAGTCAAGCTCTTGCCAAGTGCAAAGCCTGGCTCTCGAGATGAAGCGCCATCCTCCCAGTGCCCCACGGTGCTAGAGGGCAGAGGGAGGTGGGGCCAGGGGTGGCCTCTCAGAGGAAATCAGTGCTTGAAATGAAATCTTCAGGGGTGATGAGAAGCACTTGCTGGATGAAGGGGACATGGAAGAGCCCGCAGAGGATGAGGAAGGGAGAAGGAGAGGAAGGCAGCTAGAAATGCTGGGCAGCTGAGGGCCAGGTGGTCTGGGCTCGGGGATGGGGGCTGGAGGATGGTGGTTGGGGGGTGTAGAAACAGAAGGAGAGGGAGTCTACAGCATAGGGGAACAGAAAGAAAGGCCGCTAGGTAGGTGGCCATCCACGGGTGGGCTCTGGGAATGCGATGTGGGCAGGCTGAGTTTGGGACACGGGTGCACTATTCAGCCACAGCATAAAGAAACTGGCTGGGGCTGAGCCCCGCCCCTGAGATTTTATTGTGCTATGTGAACTAACTGGGTCAAAATGGGGGCTCACTTTCACACTGATGTCAACCCTGTGGGTGTAACTGAGGATCAGCCATTTCAAATTCTGTACAAAGTACAAACCAGCCCTTTTTTTCTTTGAAGCTTGCAAGATGGGCATCTGAACAGGGGTTTTTTTTCCATGTTCAACCCTTGACCCTTGACCTCTGACTCCTCACTGCACTCCACCCTTCTTTGTGATCAAAGTAATGAGTACATTGTAAACTTAGAGCTTTATAAGTTATTACTCCTTTAATGACTTGAAACATTTCATCAGATGTTTCCCAGGACAGTATACAAAGTAGACTGTATCTCAGAACTGGCCACTGTTTCCTTCCTTACAAGGCAAGGTTTGCTACATTCCTAAGCATTCCTAAGGACAAAGTCTACCTATAGGAACATTCCCTGAGCTGTCATGGTTACCTCAGAGAGGTCTGAAAGGAGAGGAGGAGGCAGAGGGGCTTCAGCTCTGCTCACAAAACTTTGTTTTTTTTTTTAAAGATTTATTTATTTATTTATTTATTTATTTATTTATTTATTTATTTATTTATTTATTTATACAAGCACTGGGTACAGTCAGAAGCGTGGGAGGGTGAAAGAATTCACCAGAGCCAGAGTGGGGAGCAGAACAGGCAGAAGGACCGAAGTACACTGCTGAGGGGAGCAGAGGGCGGCAGGAGGGGTCTGCGCGCCATGTGGGACCCTCCTTCGGTGGCTGAGGAGCAGCCGGGGATCAAACCCGCGCTGCAGAGGCTGCGGGCAGCTTCGCAACCCAGCGCTCAACCACTGTGCCAGCGGGGAGGCCCTGTTTTTTTTTTTTAAGAGGTGACTTCCTGAAGCCAATGCATTGGCGCCAGTCAATCCTGGGTGGTGGGTATATGTGATTGTTCCATTGTTCTGTCTGTTTTATGATACTTGTCATTTTTTTCATTAAAAATCTTTGCATCAACAACCAAAAGAGACATAAAAAGTGATTAATTCAGAAACAATTTCATCTGTCACTTATATTTATTTTGTTGCTTCTGTACTGCTCCGGCACACAGGATTTTTTTTTTTTTCTTTTTATTTAACAAAGACCACTGTGTTGGGTACTTGATTTCTGTGTGGAATTAATGACCCTGATTCAAAGCGCCGCTGTCTCTTGTTAGAGGGATGACAGATATTACAGAAGGCGAGGGCTCACTGGAGTGGGATTTTGTTAAAGGTAGGAACAAAGCTTTATAACTTTAGGTGGGGATAAATTATAGCTTCTACAAATGCATACACTAATAAATCAAAGGGGAAATTAAAGGCAGTAAATCTATGACCCAAATGCAGCCTAGTTTAATGGGGTGCTTTTCAGAGATTTTTGAGGAGTACCAACAAATATTTTTCGACTTGCAGCAACAGTGCTGTGTGCTGCTTGACCATCCAAACATAAGCCTGCATATTCACTCTTCAGAGGGAAACTTCTGATGCTTGAAAAGAATAACCTCAAATGGAAGGGGTAAAGAAAATATCAAAGACAGATCAAGGAAGTCAATAAATGCCTTAGAGATGAATGATTTGCATATAGGCAAAAGCTATCACTAGTGTCCCAAGGTTAGTCCATTTAAGTGATTAAACCCCAGAAAACCCCAGAAGTGGTATGACTGCAAATTTGCATTGTAGCAAGAAGCTAGTTTGGGACATCATTCTAATTTATACTTTGAACTAGTTCAATGATTTAGGAAGACTAAGTGTTATGATCTGTTTACACTCTTTTTTAAAAAATGATTTTATTTATTCATGCATACAAGAACTGGGGTACAGGCCAGATGTACGGGAGGGTGAGAGGATTCACCAGAGACAGATCAGGGAACAGAACAGGCAGACTGAAGAAATACACTGCTGAGGGGAGCAGCGGGCGCAACAGGAGAGGTCTGCCGCGCCATGTGGGACCCTCGCCGGCCGGCTGGGATTGAACTGGCACTGCAGAGGCTGCATACAGCCCCACTGCGCTATGCTCAACCACCTGCACCACCAGGGAGGCCCTGTTTACACTCTTGTCCACATTCCCCATTGCCTCATTAGATGCTCTTTTCTTTACTATCTTTCCATTAAGTTGCTGGCGTAAGCAGCTGGTAACTTATTTTTTGTCACTGCTGTTAGCTGACTGTTTTAGACAGAAGTCTGTCTTGTGTCCCTGAGTCTCTGATCATGCTGGCGTGTCCTGCAAAGACTCAACCTGAGCTCCAAGCACCCTGGCTCTGCCTCCAAAAAGGCAGCAGTAGCTCCTGTCTCCCAGGAGCACACCCAGCAGGGAGGGTTTACTGTGGGACAAACACCCCCAAGGGTCCATCATGACCCCACGTGGTTTGGGTGCTGGTCAAACCAAGTCATGCAGCTTTTCTTGGTAGGAGACCATGTGCAGGTCAGAAAAGAGTGAGCCAGAGAGTGATAGTGATCTGGAGGCCTCCAAACCTTGTAAACCATGGATCAGCACCCTCACTGGGGTTACCTGAGCATGTATGTGACAGCAGTGTACTGGGAGGGCCTGGTGGGCACCCACCATCTCAAATACTCATGCCCCTCCCAGCACCCATCCTAATGGGGCCCTCTGGCCCTACTTTCCAGATAGGCAAGAGCACCCACTCTCTGCTTTAGCCTCTACCTTGAGTTGTCTCTGCACCTGTGGTGACTGGGCTAGGTCTGCTCCCTGGGGGCTCTGACTCTAATATTCAGAGTTTGTGGAGGCCCAACTTTCCTAAATTGTCTGAAATTTATGAGCTGTATCTAAGAATCTCTAAAGGGGTTTATCAACACTTGTGACTTTCTATTTTGATTCAAATCCCTTATAAATAAATTCCTACTAATGTCCAAACAATGCCCTACAGTTCCTTCCCACCTTCACTTTGTGAACCTCACTAGCTCCAGGTTCATTCTATAACATTCCTTGAATGACAAAGTAATCTCATACCTTCCGCCCCAGGTGAACAAAGTAAATCACTTTCACCAAAGCCATCTAGTGTCAGTTATTACAGGCCCACTGTGTTTCCCTGATAGTTGCGGAAAATGACCCCCGCAGTAGCTGTGGGGACCCTGGGTACTTACCTCACCTCTATAAGCTTCATTTTCCACATCTGTAAAGTGAGGTTGATAATACCCACCTTACAGAATTGTTTATCAAAGCATTAAATTAAATGAAATAATGTAGGGACTTTCCTGGTTGCCGAAGGGTTGAGTCTCATCCCTATCACCTCTGTAGCGTGAGTTTGATCCCCAGCTAAGGAACTGACCCACATGGCACAGCAGACCTCTTCTGTCTTGCCTGCTGCTCCCCTCAGCAGTGGATTTCAGAAGATCTGCTTGTTCTGCTCCCCACTCTGTCTCTGGTTAATCCTCCCACCCCCCCACACATCTGGCTGACACCCCCAGATCCACACACACACACACACAATTAAAATTAAATAATGTACCCATTCAAAATGCAGGCACTATTGTTACCTTAATAAAGTAAAACGATGGCAAAAGAGGCTGAGAGGACAAGAAAAGCACGCACCATGCTCACTGCATCCTGGTCGAAAGGGTTCCATTCCACACTCTGCGGGTAGTGGGCCAGGACTTTGGACTTGAATGTTCTTCTCAAAGGACTCTGGTCAAAATTTTCACCTACAACAAATACTTAAAAATTAGTTAAAATCTAGAATATTTTCAAATGGATGTCGTAGCTTTACTTTACAGATGTCTTGGCTTGAGATTTGATTTAATTTCACCTCTAACAATGAATCTGAGTTGTAAAATTCTCAATGAACAACTAAGAAAGAACTATTACTAAAAGACCTACATCTGAATGTCAGAATCGGAGTTTTAAGACCCTGGATAGAGCCCTGATGCTCAGGGTCCAGCTAGGCTAAAACAATCTTGCTGTAACACAATCACAGTTCTTGTTCAGTATGTGGTGATAAGAGAAATGTATTTGGAAATATTTAATTCACAAAAGAAATGTCCTTTGTTGAGTTCATCTTACATCTTAAGACCTTGAAGTTTGTACCTGGAAAGACCCAATGCTGCAGTCCTCCAAGTAGGTAATTTTACAATTTTTTCCACAAAAATCTTTGACAAGTGTGACTATCTTCAGGCTTTAAATGTAACAGAACCAACAGAATTGGAAAACGGCACTACTGAAATGCCTAGCTTAGTAGACAGAATACACGAAACACATTAGCCTCTTCAAAGAAACAAGTCATTTTGAGCCAAATCCATTACCTGTCAAAATTCTGGAGAAAAAAAAGACTATGCATTATTATATGTGATTCCAAATATATGAGAAGACTCAATACTGTCAGCTCAGTTACCAATTCCCTTGATAATTTGTCAATTCTCATGTGACCTGTTACCCCCAAGTGCCTCAGTTTCATAAAATATTTTAATGTGGATGGACCTTAAATTCTGAGTGTCAAATAGGTGAGTTTCAGGAGTTAGAAGACCCTGCAGCAATGTTGTTCTATCTCCTGTGTTTTTCTATATCGTAAGTTCTGATTACGTGCAACACATGAACTGCCTATTGAGAAGTTAATGCTGCCACCTGCACTCGTGCAAGTGGGAACACCATGAGGGAATTCATGAGTCACACTTGGACATCTAGTCAGACTCAGTTTCCATTTTCAGTAAAATATGAAAAGCCGGATACTGAGACACCTTTTAGTGTAAAACTTAGCAGATCACAGAAGGAGGGAAAAGTCACACTCTCAGATCTTGTTGGAGCAGCTTTTTTTGAACAAAGGCATATAACTTAAATAGCTCTGCTGTGGCAACTAACCTAGTGTTTCTAAATGAAGACCCTGGCTACAGCCTATCTCCTCCAGGCCCCTTACTCCTTACTCCTTCCGCAAGCATTTCCTTTCCTCATCTTTCGACCCACGGTCCCATCTCTGGAGACTTCCAGAGCAAGGCTCCAGGACGTGCTGTGAGGGACCCCTGGGACAGCTGCACAGTGTTTGCAGCAGGACCAGGGTGTGGAACCACCAAGCCCCTGGTGAGCGTGAGGCTGTCCCTGCAAGAATGCAAGAATGTCCCTGGAGAGTCGGGGTTCGGAAGCGCTGACCTCAGGAAGGGCAGAGGTGACCTCTGAGTTGACACTAGATTCGCATGTAATCACTAAGAATTTTTAATTGCTCACCTCTTCATTAAAGAAAAAAGGTTACTTTTCACTTCAGAGGGAAAACACAAACCAAACCAAATACTCCCTCGGGTTCTGACAGTCCACGCTGCTGGCCGTGTTCTAATATGGTCCGACAACATCTAGCCCTTGGGGAGCCTTGCCTTCACCACCCCCAGGATTGCTGCCTTTTGTCCTCTACAAAGGTAAATAAAATATGAACTGCTGCAGGGCAGAGCACAGAGCCCAGCCTGTACCCGCCCCAGCACTTACCTCTCAGCGATGCTGCCTGAGCTGGCTAATGAGGACACAACCTCATGCCCATGTCCAGGCACTGACGGGGCCACAGAGTCATTTTCAAAGTGATTTTTCTGTGGACTAAGGGCACTCTACCCTCCCAAAGCACCGAGAATCAACCAGCGAGAGAAGGAAAACCATCTCCACAGAGAAAGAATTTCACAAAACCAAACACCAGGAGCAGCAGCACAAGCCTAACGGAGAAACGCTGAGCCACCGCCCTGCTCATCGGCCGCCAGAAGGGCGGCCACTCTCTTGGCAAACATTATTTTGAAGGAAATTAGGAGAAAAAACAACTATCTAGAAATTCTATTACTGCTAGTGTCAACCAGAGAACACTGGCAGTGCCTTCTGGAGCCGGGAGCCAGGGGACCAGCCTCCCTTTCTTCTCCTTTTAAACCCATGATTGATAAGCCTCTAACTTAGAATTTATAGGTAGGGCTAAGCAGGAGAAAGGAATCAATCCCCAATTTTGAATTCCTAGGAAATTGAAATGATGCATAAGCATCCTTTATTTAACTTAAAATCCAGCTTTTTAAACATTGTCCTGAAAGGAGCAAGGATTATAAATTTGTGCAAATATTAATATCTCCCACTGCCACCACATATTGACTTAATTCCAAGCAATACTGCCAAGTAACCTATTAAATATAAGCTGCAATTAAGCCTTTCCTCCTAAGAAAATAGGACATATCTGCCAAGAGAGCTTAAAGACGAGCAAATAATTTTTTTCAGATTTGAGGTCTTCAAGAAAATTAAGATGCAGATGAGAGAACAGAAATACAAAATAAAACCTGATTTTTTTTGGTCCAAGCGAAAATGAATAATAATTAAAAAAAACACCTATGATTGGCTAGCGGTGAATTGAAATCATGATTTCTGACACCTCCACTTGTATGTTTATTCGTATTTTTACCTGAGGTCGTATTGGCAGCATCTTGGCTGTGGCCATGACGATCTGCTTCTAGCCATTGGTACAAAACTACATGATGTAACAGAAACAAAAAAGCTTTATGAACAGAGAACCAAAAACAAACAAAAAAGCAAAAATGACTTTGGAGAATGGAAAATGAGAATAAAAAGTTAAAGCAAGCAATTACATGTACATTAACATCAATGGAATGTAGCTTACCACCAACAGGATGTAGTTTCTAAACTATTAGGAATTAGGAAACTAAGAGAAAAAGTAATTCTATTTTAAAATCAGTGACTCGCTATTGAAACATCTCTAACAGTGACTCACATGGGACAAAGCGCAGGCATTCTTTTTCTTAAAGCTAATTGGAAGAGAAGTATCAGGAGAAAGGCAATGTGTTAATAGTCACATAGAATAAATATGAGAGTAAGAATCAATGGCCAACTTTAAAAATCACACCCCAACCTCGGAACAGGGAGCAGAACAGCTGCCGCCCAGCACTGCCCACACCAGCTGCTGACCAGGGCGGTGTGCCAGGGACGAAGAGGAGGCGTGGTCTCTTGGGGCGACAGCGGGCAGAGTCTCACTGGGTTCACCATAGTCTTGCCGCAGACCTAGTAAGCCCATCCCATCAGGGGACACGTGTCAGACAAATTCCAAGAGGATCAACCGCCAGTAAACCTAACAACTCTCGTCAAAATGACCAGGGACATGAAACCAGGGAGGTCTGCAGACTTGCTGCAGCCGAGAGGCACAGAGGGGACAGCTGAGTGCATGTGTGACACAGGATGGGGCCCCTCCAAGGGGAAGGGCGCTGGGTGAGCGCTAAGAGAAGCTGAAGAGGAGCAGACTTAGTCCACAATGAGGCATCAATGCCAATTTACTGTCACAAATGTATCCAGTGACTGCAGGTATTACAGAGCCAGCTGGGATACAGCAGGACTATTCTCTTTTGGAATTTTGTCTCTACATCTAGAACTACTCTAAAAATGGAGGCTGTTTTAAAAATCAGATCCCAGTACTTAGGGACATGGCGGAAGCATACATTCTACCTGATCTTGAAAGTGCTCTTCCTTTTGGGACTTGTTCTGCAGACACAGGCTGGGAGGGGCTCTACAGGTGGGGCTCAGCCAGCTGTCCTGGTGGGCACTTCTGACCAGCAAGTGTGAGCTCTGGGAGAGGCGTGAAGGAGGCAGACTATTAATAAGTTCACACCGGAGCGCTGCATTTCAGCAGCTTTGAAGTGCTAGGACTTCCAGAGTCTTTTCTGGCACATCCAAATGTCTGCAACCTTAGGGTCTCTGAAGTCAGCTCACAATGGCCGAGGTCCCTGGAGCCAGGGAGACTTCCCGCCTGCACCTCAAGGGCTGGACAGGTCCCAGGAGAATGCAGCTGAGCTTCTATATGGGCCTGACCCATGAGATTGTGGGATTCTAGAGCCCAAACAAGGTTTACAGAACTTCCTACACCTTCCCCTGCCGCCGTGCCCTAACAAAATCAAAGATAAAGGTTTGGGGAAGTTGCCTCCCAAACTGAAGGAGTCAGGTAGGGATGGCTGCAAATGTCCAAGGGTGCCCTGAAGTCACCAGGAGTCGCTGGGACTTTTCAGGTCAGTGGCACTGTGACCCAACACCCAGCCTCGGGGACAGAGCAGGCCCACACACCCCTGCATGGCCCTGTGGGGGCCCCTGCCACCATGGGGACTGGCGGAGAAGGACTCATGCAGACCCATAGCCACCAGCTCCAGCGCTGGGATCTAACGTCCGCACCTAGCAGGCGCTTTCATAGGAGAGGGCGGGGGGACTGCCATGGCCCCAAGATGGGCCCAACCACCAAAACCCCAAACGCACGCAAAACTGCCAGGCGCCAAAGGAAACCCTGCATCCAAAATGTGCCCTGAATGCCTGCTGCTCTAAAGCCTGAGTGAGAAGACACCCGGCACCCCACTCAGGAGAAGTCACGTCAAACAGGAGTGCTCGTTCCTCCGTGGCCTGGCAGGGACAAACTTCCCATCAGTAAACCTAGTTTCAGGATTTTTGGCTTTCAGTGCGCGGCAGGTGGACGCTCACTGGAAGGGGAGTTTGGGCACGGCCTTGGTCCTCACAGGCGTTTCCTCTCTCCTTACTGAGCCCATGGCCTCTCCATAGAGGAGAGCCCGAGGAGCGGGGTGTTGGCACAGAGCCTCCTGCTGGGAGGACAAGCACCCACGGTGCACCCCACCCAAGCCCCTCATTGCTGGTTTTCTCAGAGAAAAGGAAAAAGATTCTGGGAAGTATTCCAGATCAATGTGCTCTGACCAGTTACACAGAGAATTGTATATAGGCAAAAGTCACTGCACTAGGCCTGGGGGTTCAATTATTTGATTGCTGCCTCCAGATTACCAAAGTCCAGTGAACCATGGTCTAAATAATTCAGAGAAGTGCTTCTCTGCTTCATGTGGAGCTGTCGCAGGGATTACCATTAGATCCACCTGGACTGCAAAAGCTATTTTTTAACACGTATGTTTAAAATGACTGGGCCTCCCTGGTGGCCTATCAGCCCTATGATTGCCACGGCCTGAGTTTGATCCCCAGCCAGAGAGCTGACCCACATGGCTCAGCAGACCTCTCCTGTCTTGCCTGCGCTTCCCCTCAGCATTGGATTTCAGTCAATCTGCCTTTTCTGCACCTCACTCTGTCTCTGGTAAGTCCTCTCACCACCACCTGCCCCCCCACCCCATCTCTGGCCAAAAAAAAAAAAAAAAAAAAAAGACAATGCAACAACGGAAAAAGACATGAGACTGATAGTCTTGTTTAACATATTAGAATGTATATGGGCAGTTTTGGAAGAACTGAGCTCCAATCATTTCTTTATTATGTCTATTGAGGTTCCATTGTATCTATTGGTTGACAACACACTCTATGATGTAAGGGTACAGGTTCACACCTCTTCTGATGGATGTTACCACACCACACCCACCACAAAGTACCATAATCTGCCTCCATAGATTACTTTGCCCCCTTCCCCCACAACCCCCAAAATTACTTAACATTCACAAAGTACTTGAAATGTGTCATAACACAAAGGGCCTGTGCTCTGCAGACCATGCCAGAGCACCAGAAACAGGCCTCTTAACTGTGGCTGGGTGTGAGGGCTGGCCCCTGGAGGGGGGAGCAAGCTCCCTGTCATTTGGCTCTGGGAGGGTTTCCACAGCCTGTACTCGGGCCGCAAGGAGAGGTGGACGCCAGGGACCTGGCAGCCAGCAGCCGGCCCTGTGCCCAGCCGCAGGGTCCGAGAGTTTTCACTTGCTGGCAGTGAACCTTCCGTCCCCCCACCGCCTGCTTCTGAGGAAATAAGGCCCGTCTCAGCCCATGTCCCTGTTCTCCTGCCCCAGGGGACACCTCGGAAGTCTGAGCCCTAACCTGAGTTGCTGAGAGGACAATAAAGATGGGAAAGTTAAAAGGCAATCTTCCTGCCCTGTCCCTTTTCCACTTTGTTCCTTTTATCTCTGCAGGGAAAATGAAGAACAACACACGCAGGTGATAAATGCTGGACAGATGTTCAATCAGTAACTGTTTCGTGGGGTGGATGAAGGTGAGAGGCGGCAAGGGGGGTGGGCCCCTCTCCATGCAGGCACCACGGCCTCTCTGAGGCCACTGGAGTGGAGAGGGGGAGCTGGGCCACAGGGGCCTCACAGAAGGTGAGCAGACCCCTCTGCTGACTGCCCACAGCTAACGCCTGCGGGCTGGGCCACGCGGGGCTGGATGAAGCCACACCACGTGGCCCGGCCTGCGGGGCAGGTGCTGTTGTAAGAGCACTGCACACACTCATCTCGTGGTCGCTTCCCCTGTTACCACTCTCCCTTCACAGATGCAGACACCGAGTCACAGAAAGGTCTGAAAGCCTGTCCCAGCCAGAGAGCCAGAAGATTTCTGGGAGGGAATAGCAAGTGCAGGGTCCTGAGGCAGATGGGCTGCTGCCAGGAGGCCGGGCACCACGTGGTGGAGGGAAATGGCAGAAATGGGGCCAGATGGGTAAGCGGGAGCTGGGTCAGAGGTGGCCTTCCCAACCCGGGAAGCAACCCAACGTCTCTTGCAGGGAAGTGACTGTTGAAAAGGAGTCCCTGGCAGCTGGGCGGAGGCGGACAGCTGTGTCAGTGTGGAAACAAAGGGAGCAGTGAGGAGGTTTCTGTGGTGGCTTGAGAAGAGATGGCGGCATGAGGATTAGGGGCCTGGGCTGGGCGGGGAGAGGGCTCTGGACAGACTTGAAGACATGGGGTGCTGGCAGGTTAGCTGTGAGAATCAGGGGCCTCTGAGGAGGAGCTGGAGATGCCAGGGCTCTGGTCTGTGCCCGGCTGGTTACAGCAGCTGAGGATGAGACTGAACAAAAAAAAAAAAAAAAAAAAAAAATGGAGGAGAAATAGAAGAGGGCCTTATTGGGGTACCGGGAGCCAAAATAAGGAATTTCATTTTGGATATGTTTTGTCGGAGAGGCCTATTCCATGTCCAGGTGAATAAGTATATAGACATATAGACACATGAATTCTAAATTGAGGGTTAAAGTGAGAAGTTCAGGGCCTCCCTGGTGGTGCAAGGGGTTAAGACACAGCCGTGAAACTGTTCACAGCCTCTGCAGCACAAGTTTGATCCCCGGCCGGGAGATACTCACATGGCGCAGCAGACCTCTCCTAACTCACCTGCTGCTCCCCTCAGCAGTGTATTTCAGTCGCTCTGCCTGTTCTGTTCCCCACTCTGTCTCTGGTGAATCCTCTCACCCCCCACACTTCTGCCCTGTACCCCACCTCTTGTATGCATAAATAAATAAATCTTTTTTAAAAAATTAAAGTGAGAAGTTCAGAGATCAGTATGAAATAGGGGGAACCCCCATCACAGGGCTGGACAAGGTCACCTTGGACATGCGTGTAGGTGAAGAGAGGCATCCCGCCAGAGCCCTGGGGGCCCATGTGACCTTTCCCAGGTGGCAAAGAGGATGGCGAAAGGAAGTCAGAAGGAGCTGCTGGTGCGGTGGGAGAAGCCAAAGGGGTACCCGGCAGCCAGGCAGGGGATGGTCAGCACCAAGGACGCCTC